CTCTCTGAGGTCGTCAGATCAATATCCAGAGACTCTGAACTTGGGGAGCCTGGTGAAAACTACGAGGAAACTTTCCTTTGAGAATCGATTGTGTGGAGAGTGTTTGTGTGGTTTTGTCTGTTTTGTTTACAGCAGAGAATATAGCTCAGATAACTCATGGTCAAAGAGAAGAAACCTTTTTATATAATATATTTATATATGCAATATTTTTAAGTAACTCAGTCTCTGTTGAAATTGAACAACGCAGAAGTACATTTTGTAACACAGTAAAAAACTTCTCAACAGAGTTTAACTTTTCCTCAAGCCATCTTAAATTTTACATTTGGCAGATCATTTATAACATAGCATACATTCACTCTCAACACCACGTCTGCAGTTTTAACATATCAGTAAACACTGTACCTCATTCCAGGAGAAACACTAAAAACACCGAGATGACCAAGACAACAGAAATGGACACGGACATACCCAAGCCTGCAAAACAATAGAAAAAACAAAGAGAATCAGAGTTGTGAAAAAATCCTCTAAATAAATTATTTTTATAGTCTGAAGAACTAAAGTAACAATCAAACAAAACTAGCCAACAAAATGGAGCTAACGAACCAAAGTAGCTAAGGAACTAAAGTAGCTAACAAATTAAACGATCTAACAAACTGAAGTAGCTCACAATCTACTTCAAGAGCTACCAATTTGAAAGAGCTTACAAACTAAAGAAGCTTACAAATTAAAGTAGCCGAGAAACTAAAGTAGCTAAAAAACTGAAGTAGCTAACAAACTGAAGTAGCTAACAAAGAAACTGAAGTAGCTAACAAACTAAAGTAGCTGAGAAACTGAAGTAGCTAACAAACTGAAGTAGCTAACAAACTGAAGTCGCTGACAAACTGAAGTCGCTGAGAAACTGAAGTCGCTGAGAAACTGAAGTAGCTAACCAACTAAAGTAGCTAAGGAACTGAAGTAGCTAACAAACTGAAGTAGCTAACAAACTGAAGTAGCTAAGGAACTGAAGTAGCTAACAAATTAAACTATCTAACAGACTGAAGTACCTAATAAACTTAGGTGGCTCACAGTCTAGTACAAGAACTACCAAACTAAAATAGCTTACCAAATAAAGTAGCTAACAAATTAAACTAACCAATGGACTAAAATAGCTAACAAACTAAAGTAGCTAACAAATTAAAGTAGCTGAGAAACCGCAAGAGCTACCTAACTAAAGTAGCTAACCAATTAAAATAGCTAACACAAAACAATTTCAGCTAAACAATAGCAAACAGTTCTTATAAAAACAAACAATTTTGTAGGCAAAATATATATTTGAACACATAGCCTAGGCTACTGTATCCATGCAACTCATAAACCAATAGTAGATTCAGAATTTAGAACACAATTCCTCCTAAACACGTTGACATAAGTGGATTTCCATTAGGATTGTAGCCGTTATTGAGCTCTTATTCAGCAGCAATATGATTTGAACCAAAGCTAACATTTACTCATAACATTTTCAATTAACATTTCAATAATAAAAAATTCAAGGTAAAACATATTACATTCACAAAACAACTATTTGTAAGCCACATTTATGATTCAGATTTAAATGCTAATGTTTGGGATTTCTTAATTTATTTAAGAAAATCACTTTGATTGAATTAAGATGCTTGGTACTGTATGGTTAGAATAGCATCAAGTGTATTCAATTCAACTTCAAATTACAAAAAGCAGAACTTCAGAAAATTGTATTAAACTTAAAATGTTTTTTGTGTGAAAAACTAAATATTTATTAATTTCTCAAGTATAACACATTACAAGATGAACTTGTATCACTTACAAAGAAGAACTGTGTGTAAGTAAGTAAAGTTTATTTATAAAGCGCTTTATTTATATGTACGAATAATCCCTGAATTATGTGCCTGATTTTGATGTTGTTCGCACACTTCACTGACTCTCTTTAGGCCATCTAATTTGATGTAATGGATGTGGATTGGAAGAGCATGAATGGACTGAGAGCTCATTTTGTAATTAACTATGTAGAATACTTTGAGGCTGTGTAATGTATGCAAAGCTGATTTTTACCTATTTTTTGTAACGTATTTATATTCAAAGACCATTTCAGTGACTCTCATGACAGCCATAACAAGATATGATCAAATTATATAGTTAAACTGTATTCATTTTACATAAAATACTTTCCTTGAGAACCTGATTGTCTGTATTGCATTTAGGTTGTTCGTTTCATGGATTGTTTTATGAAATGTTAATAAAACTCTTTTCCATATTTTTGGTTTTTCCAACTCTCACTACAGTCCACATTGTTGGAAGACGTGTTTTGGATTATTGAGAAAATGTTTGCAAGGCTTATTACGTGTTAACACTTACACTGCCATAAGCGTATTAACATTGGTGTACCAGAATCCAACATTCAAAACTGTGCAAGTGCGCAGTGTCCCTCCATTTTCACATGAGGAAACAGTTAGCTGATTTGACCTCATTACAAGGCAGGCGCTGTTAAATCTCGCTCTCTGAGCCCATTTGTATAAAAAAACAGAACAGATGTGCAAAAACCTCTGTATCTCCATGGCTGTCTGTCTCTTTGAATGCATCACTCTTTAAAGCATGAATTTGTCTATAATGCATATTTGAATACAGTACAACAACATAGCTTAGAGCTGTGATGATTGATATGTAAGCTAGAAGAGGCTAACACACAAATAAATACCACGCAGTAATGCTGCTGCATGATAAGCTACCAACATAGTCCTGGAAAATTATAATAAATAGTGCCCAGTCATAAAAAAGAGAATAAAAACACAACTGGATAAAATAACTGGAATATTTAAGGAATGTGTGTGTATTTCCCTTCTCTTAAAATGTCCTCTTCAAGACATCAGTGACTTGTAATATTATATGGTTTGTCGTGTTCATAGATTTCAGTGCAGAATTTAAGTTAATAGTTGAGCACTCCCACATTTTCAGTTTGGAAAAAAATCATCAAGGGTGCCAATTTGGATTTAGCCCCAAAGAGATTTCCTCTCTCTGGTTGTCGGGGTGGTCAAATCCAACTCTGACCAGCTGGGATAGAGGGATAATCTGTGTGTAAAAAAAATCACTTGTTTTAATTACACACTCACAGACACACAAATGCACGCACTCTTTCTCTTTCGCTCTCTCTCTCTTTCATACACACACACACAAATGCACATACATACAGTACACATGTGGACATGCATGCATTAACACAACTACGCAAACACACACTATACTTCCCCATCTAGCCTCATAATAGACAGCTGCTTACTTTGAATATAATTTGGATTTGTGCATGAAGTGCCAGAAAAATGTGACTTGACTGAATGTGACTTGGTAATTGATCTGATTTTTAAGCGTTTGGACATGTGGCGGAGATTAAAGCTTCATCAGAGAGAGCAAACATTTTAAAAAAGATTAAAAAGGCACTATGTCTAATTACAAAATGCAGCAACGCACAGTGAAACACAGCAATGTCAACGCGTAATGCATTACAAATAGTCTACATATTATGTAGACATGCTAAACTCTAATACAAAAGACATTTCATGTATTGCATGTTCTATCTGTGGCAATTTCAAATTCAAATAACATTTAGATAAAGAGGATCATGAGTCACATTGTGTCGCGTCATCATCAGTCAAAGAGATAAATGGGAATTTAATTCTTTATTTCTACTAAACATGACTATCTCACTCTCTTTAAATCGACAGAAGACTTAAATATATCAAATATGCACTACTGTTATTACTTGAAGACTTTATTAGTAAGAAAAGGGAGAGGTTTTTGTGCAAGGGTATTTATGTAAAAAATAAAGGAAATATATACAAAATCAGGAATTATTTTTATAAAAATAAAAATTTTAAACGTGACAATAAGTCATCATTTTGACTAATTTTCTCACAATTTTGGCCATCTGCATGTGTAGAGCTGCAACATACTGTAAACTGCTGCTTATCACAATGCGTACTTTCACTCAAATAAGCACTCAACACCCAAATGTACAGATAAATATACTGAGGATGACAAAAAATTACAATCCAGTAATTGGGACACTCTATTTAAGGTTTAATACAATTCTACTTCAACTCTGTATTTCGTCTGCCCTGGATGTTAGCTGTAAGCTTCCTTGGGGAAATGTTTAAACCCTGTGCTGCTGGGTGGCTGTTGGTGGTAAGTACAAATCGAGGTTGGCTTCACAAAAAGGGCTGAGAATCTGAGTAGAGGAAATAGCCTTTTTAACTAAGAGGATCCTTCTGTCACACAATAGGCACTGCAGGGATTTACTTGGTGTCATGGGCCTTAACACTGTCCAGATGGTCTGATGAAGCACTATCTAATTACTTTTCCAACGTTCCCATGATGAATACTAACCGTTAGAAAGACTGCACTGCCACCACCAGGGGATTGTTGCACCTACAGTTACAGAATTTAATTGCAAAAATAAGCTTTAAAGTTTACTTTCAAAACGGATAAATATTCAATGCATAGTTAATTTAAAAAAAGGAGGTACACAAACATTTGTGTATCTTTGCTGATTTACTAGGTGTTTAAGATTTTCTGAGCTCACAAAGTGAAAAAATAATCCTCATTCTTTTGAGGTCATACATAAAAAAAATAGTCAAGCAACCAACAGGAAAATACACACACTGTGTAGCCAACCAGAAAGAAACATGTACTTTTCCATTGTAGAAAGAAAATCATGAAGACTCGCCTTCCAATTAGGGAGGACAATCCCAATTACTTTTCAATGTAATTTTTTGTTGGGGGGGGAATGGCAGGCAAAGAATACTGGGACATTTGTATCATCATTGTTATTGTTTTAATTGTTACCTACACTGTAGAAAAATAGACAATGCCATACGTGTAGGTGTAGGTCCTACACTCCTACAGTATGGCATTGTCTATTTGTCTACACTGCCGCCCAGTAGGTGGCCGTAAAACGCCTTTAAACTGGTTTTCTAAACACCAACGAAGAAGAAGGAAGTGCAAGCATCGAGTTGCTGGATTAGCTGTTAGAAACTATTTTTCACAGAAAGCCTCTAAGGAAAGAATATTTTCTAAATTTGAAGACATTCCTCTGCAACAATTCAACTTTTGTAACTCTTAAAAGGGAAAAAAATGGGTAAGCTTATGTGTTTTGTTGGGTTTATGTAGGATTGTTTTGGTGTTGTTAGCTTGTCTGCTAACAGCAACTTCCTAGATTTACTAAACTAATAACATTCATTTTAATTTTCCTGGAGGTGTTTTAGACACAACGCGAAAGGAAGAAGCTATTGCAGTTTACACTATATTTAATGTATTTGGTGCAAGTATCCAGCAGAGGAATTAAGTTCCTGAGAAATAGTTTTTTGTTTGTTTTTGGCCTTAGTTAATGTTTCACAAATGATTAAAAAAAAACGTTGGTTGGCTGCCGATAACACAACAATGGATAAACCAAAGGAACAAGAAAATAATTGCACCTTTCAGGCTATAATTGGTTCAGCTTCTTCAAGTAACGTCAAACTGAGGTTGAAGTGTTTTTTTTTAACTTGTTGATGTGTTTAAAAGTTAGATTAGTCTATATGAACTGTCTTATTACAGAAGCAGGTGTTTTCATCACTTTTGCTCTCAGTACATCCATTTACTAACAATAGAGAGACTGTACATTAGTTTGGATGCTTTATATTTCTGGTGTGAAAGCATATTTAAATGCAATAATGCTTCAGTCCCCTCTCCCCCTTGCAGAGGGCCCCCTGCCCCTGTCCTCGCTCAGGCTCCTGGTTCCACCACTGAGGATGATGACGGCTGTGATGTGGAAGGTGGTTCGTCTGAGAGACATAATGCATTATGGGAAAGTGGAGGAGTTCGTTTCCTTGGTGACTGAAGCCATCCCTGACATCTTTACAGAGAGACAGATGAGACTGCTCACTCTGGGCCTAAGATCAAAGGCAAGTGATTCACATTACATGGACTATACTTTTTTTTATTGAAATAAAGTTGTTTTTTGCAGATCCAAGCTGGAAAAAGTTACACTTCACAAATTATCGTGTTAAACCTTTTTGTATTGTTGGTGTTTGTCTGATTGCTGTTGTTGGTTACATACATTTTTGGAAAAGTATTTTAGTCTTTATAATTGTTCTTTAGATAAGATTCCGTTTTCATTTCATGACTTTAAGTAGTTAATCTTTTCTAGAGGCTGCATCTAACTAACTACTTTGTTTATCAATAAAACTAGAAAAAAATCTAGATATTTAGTTTAATATAATAATTATACACTTTATATATCAAGCGCTTTATAAAGATCTCGAAGCCTCTTTACAGAGGTAAAAAAAAAAGATAAGATACAAATAAATATGATAGAAATAGAGAAAAAAAAGAGGAAATCTCTACATTTAAGCATTTTCTTCTGTTCTTTTTGCATGAAAATGTCCTTATTTACTTCATTTGCTTACTTCATTTCATTTATCCTCTTCAGATAATAAAAGCTTAATGGAAATGCTTTACGTCTTGCACCTTTTCTTAATTTTATTATTTCTTTATTGTTGTTTGTAGCTACAATTAGGGGATTCTGGATTTCCCCTAATTGTTAATATCTCCTGTTAACATCTTTCACCAGATGATGTTACAGATATTAAGCTCTGAAAAGCCAGAGGACTTCACAGATGTTAAAACACGTTTGAACAGCCTGATGCCATCTACCTCAAAACTGGTGCGTGACTTTTTAAATCACCGACATTCAAATGTTGTCTGGATAAGAATGCTCTGCTAATTCTATATGTGTTTATATTACTTTAAAGGTGCATCCAGGAAATGAAGCGATGGAATCCAACTTTGTCAAGCTTATTCAGAGACTCGTGGACGACCCAAAAGGGAGAGAGCACTTCCTCAAGGTGTGATTCTGCTTTCACCCTTCGTTAGTTTTGACGTGAAAAGTAGCAATTTGCTTGAATGGTCAAATAGTATCTTGAGGTTTTATATCCATGCTTATGGTTTAAATGTTCCACTTCACAGAATGTGTTTCCGGTGGAGTATGGGTCTGACTTTGACACAGCTCTGGAGACTGTGTTTTGTGAGTTCTTCACCAGACTGGATAAGTTGCTGCTTATACCAGACTTTAAGCAGGTAAATAAAATAACGTACGCCATAAAATTGCACTTAATAAAATCATTTTCAGGTTTTGGTTGTCTGGTTCAAGCCTGTTAAAATAATACTTATTTTTTCATTGATAAAGACAGCAATGTTGATTGGTGACACACCCTCTGCGCTGGAAGAGTCCATGCAGTGTGTATCCAAAGCCGATGACCTCAAAGTACTGCTTAGAAGCAAGGCCCATCTTAGTCAAATGTACACAATGGATACCAGTGGTAAGTCAGTGTGCCCGGGATACAACCATTTTTAATGTACAAAATAGTGCCTCAAACAAACTGTCAATTAACAAAAAATCAATCCATAAGACATTTCTCAAGCACAAACTAGTGATCATTTAGATTAATGATTATTCCGCAGATTCTTGTCTAGATTAATGATTCATCGTTTTGTCTAGAAAATTTCAAAAAATGTATAGATATAGATATTTACTTTAAAGGGATGCTTTGGGGGGTTTCCCTTTCCTGTAGTGTGTTATATAGGTTTTTGTGACCCCCCCCTGCCTGAAACGCCTCCATCTGACTCCTTTGTTTACTTTTGTAACATAGTGATATCACTATGTCACCCTTGCGCTTCTATTGGCTAGCGCTCCAACATTGTACTTGATAGGCTAAGGGGCGGGACATCTCTAAGCGGTTGACCATTCACAACAGAGCCGACTGGGCTCTGGTTTCAGACAGAGGGTGAAAAGAGGTGCTGCAGCCCAGGCAGTATGAGAACAATTAAGAGCTTTTTGAACATTAAAGCATGGAGACATGTCACAGAAGAGGCACAAATAAACCTGAAAATATGTCCTTTTTAAATGAAAGAAATGCAAATAAATAATCCTCACTTATTTTTTTTTCTCTTTCCAAACAGTGCCCTCATCCTCGGAGCAGCTGCTCTTTTCGTCATTATCTTTCCCTCCTTCACTGCCAGAGACAAACGCTCAAGACTTAGAATCTAATACACAAACATTTCTGGAGCAAGAAGAATCTGAGGCTATTTCTCTTCAGGACGCATTAAATATGGAGATACAGGATGTGATATGGCCATCTGAGGATGACGTCATCATTCTAGAGAGCAGCAATGCAGGACAAACAACAGGAGGGAAATGCAGCGACAGCGTTCCTGATGCTCTCACTTTGGAGGAGTATGATAATGGAGCTTCAGGCAGCTTCCATTCTCCCTCTACATCTGCCAATAGTCCCGTGTCGTCCACTTCAATGATTGCCCCTCCACGGCAGAGAGTTGCACACAAATGCAGTCATTGTGGAAAATGCTTCATTTACCGCTACAAACTCCTGGAGCATCAGAGGCTGCACACCGGAGAAAACCCTTACAAGTGCTCTCAGTGTGGGAAGTCCTTCAGAAGGAGCTGTGACATGTCGTCTCACAGGCGGACACAGTGCACACAAGCTGCTTATATTTGCCTTAAATGTGGGGATAGCTTTCAATCACTAAAGGACAAATTAAGACACCGGTGTGGTCGCATCGTCCAATGGTTTGACTGTTCTCAGTGCGGTAAAAGCTTTAAAAAAATGCACTTGCTGAATAAGCATGAGCGGACTCACACAAGGATCTGCAACTTCACGTGCAAACCGTCTGGGCAGGAGTACCCCAGTATGAGTGAGATGAGGAGCAACCAGAAGAGTCATCCTCCCAAGATTTCCAAACAGTGCAAGCGATGTGGGGAAATGTTCAGCTCTGTCGCCCGTTTGACAAAGCATGAGCTGCGCCACAAGAAACAGGACCAAAAGATTTGTGGGGAATGTGGCAAAGCTTTCAAGAGCAAATATGAAGTGTCTCTTCACATGCGCTGTCACACAGGTGAGAGGCCGTTTCAGTGCACGTACTGCGGCAAAGGTTTCTCCAGATCGGGTAACCTGAAGATACACTTAAGGATCCACACGGGAGAGAAACCATATCTTTGCTCTGACTGTGGCAAGGGTTGTATGTCAGCTGGCGATCTGCAGATACACAGACGCATCCACACAGGGGAAAGACCATACAAGTGCACTGACTGTGGGAAGGGATTCACCACCGCAAGCAACTTGACAGTTCATATGCGGGGTCACACTGGAGAGCGCCCTTACATCTGTTCCATATGTGGACAAGGGTGTATTACTGGCACAGTATTAAAAATACATACTTTAAAACATACTGGTTTCAAACCCTACCCTTGTCATATATGTGCAAAGGCTTACACAAACCTCACTCACCTGAAGAGACACTTGAAAAAAACTCACAATGTAGTGCAAAACCAGACTGTCTAATTGAATAGAGTACCATATGCCACTTTAAGCAAGTTAATGCAACTGGCCTGGACTAATTTTTGTGATACATTTATAAACTTGGTTTTCACTCTCCATCTCCTGTAAGGACTATGTTTTCAAAAGATTTTGTCCTGGCTGTTTCATTTACCTGTGTTGTTGGATCTGTTCACATTGTACCGTGTACAATTACATTTGTGTTTTCAATTTTGTTCTGTGAATCTGTCAAACATGTTTTAAATTGTCTCTAAGAAAACAGAGTAAAACTTGCTACTAAGTGTATGGAAGTTCCCTGTGTTTGTGTCTATCTGCAACATTCGTACTTAAACCCAACATAAAACCACTTGAACAATATTAACATTAATAATTTAAAAAAACGAGACAACCAAAAGATAATTCACCAAGAAATAAAGTTCCTGTAATCTTAATAATCTTGACAAGCTGAAACACAGAGACTGCTCACTCTGAGCCTATGAGTAAAACACATGTATTAAAAACATTTTACCTTAAAGACATTAGAATTATGAGGGATGCAGATTGAAACATGATTACTTTAAAGATGTAGTTATTTGATTGTCCGTAGAGGCGGTGCGTCTCATTTTGCAATAGAGAGAATATGAATGTCCCTATCCGGGCTGCCCCGTGATGCAAAACGAACCTCTCTGCTAAGAGCGCGCAGCTAACGCTCCCAGGATGAACAGCGTGTTTCAGGAAGAAGTTGGCGCCTGAAGCCGTGTATGCGGTTAGCTAGCACGCTAACCGAAAGTATGCATGATAGCACACTTAATAATTGTTCTTTCCAACGTTATAAGAGAATTCCAGAATGAACGACGCAGGTATGTATTAGCTTGTTAGGCTCGGTAAAACTGTGTGTATATCACTTGTGCGGCTAGCCGAATAGCCATAGCGCAGGATTAGCCGAGGCATAGCAGGCCTTGTCTAATCCCTGGAACACGAATTGTTTTTCCCAATAATGAGCCGGTTTTACCACACATCAGCGGCCTTGTGGCTAGTCTGGTGATGCTATCTTACGCTTGGGCACAACAAGCAAATATGTATTGTTAGGTATATTTACGGTCGAAAACGCAACCCAACTGTTAGGTACTTGTGACTGATAGTTAGCCGGATAATTAGCGTAATTTGACATATTACTGAGGTGATGCTAACAGCTAGCTGTTTGCAAATTGTTTATGTTTAACTACTCTCTATATACGTTATCTCATTTGCCATTTCGCGCAGCGACGGGTGCATTGTAAACGCATTGCATGTGTTTATTTTAGCATTTAAGGAACATCCTAACGATCAAAGCTGTAACATGCATTGGGTGGTAGAAGTTAGATGTATGCACACAGCCGTGGTGCGTTAGATAATGCACCCTACAGGGCTGTATACCACACTAGCCAGTGCATCTCAGGGATGGGGAGCTGTACTGACCCTAAAGTAAGATGCTGCACTGATAAGGAAAGACATTTTTTGTTTCAAATTAGCACTAGAGTGTATTCCCCTTCCACTTTAATATAAATACATATATAAAACCGGATATTAATTACTGTCAACATCTTCTACATAGTCAAAACACAATATATTTAACATTAAAAGTGACTTATTATGACGTAATTATCAGCAGTTTCAGAACAAGGCTCCCAAATAGTTTTAAGGTTTGTTTGACCCAAACTATTTTTCTAATTTAGAAGAGTTCAGTGTCCCCCTTTCCTCGCTGGCGCTCCTGGTCCCACCACTTCGCCTGATGTCAGCAGTGATGTGGGAAGTTGTTCGCCAACGAAACATAAAGCACTATGGGAAACTGGAGGAGTTTGTGACCATGGTAACAGATGCAGTTCCTGAGCTGATGAGTAAACGGGAAGGGAGACTGCTCTCACTTGGCCTGAGGGCAAGGGTAAGTGTTTTGAAATGTGTATAACATCATGTGTTTAATGAGAACTATTCAAATGAGATAGGGTTATCATGAAAACATTATATTCACAAATGAAATTTCCTCCAGACAACTCTTGAGTTGTTGCGTTCTGAACACCCTGAAGATCTCAAGGCTGTTGAGAGCCACTTGAACCGAATCCGAACTTCTTGCATTGAGGAGGTGAGTGTTTCGGTTGCAGCACTGAAAGGATAAGACAACTAAAGCAATAAATAACAGCATAAACCGATTATGTTGCTGTTTTGATAATAAATTAATAGTCTGACTAAATATTTTAAGCAAAAATGTTGAAACAGTGACTGGTTCAGACTGCTCATTTCATGCTTTTTATGTATTAATAGTTAGTAGTAAATCTGATATCATTTGGTTGTTTGAATCTTGGTTGGACGAACTGCACTCGTTTTTATTTGTAGACGGTTCCTATTGTTTATATAATCTGACTGTGTTTTTTGTTTTCTGACCCAGACAAATGATCCTGTCATTGAAGCACCAGAGGCAAACTTTATGAAGCTGGTGCAAGGCCTCATTGAAGACACGGATGGCAGAGAACACTTCCTCAAGGTAAAATATTATGTCATTTACATAGTGCTCTTAACTCAAATGTTATAAATTCATTTCTTAATCACAATTTCACCAAACAAAATTTGACAGAGGAAATGTTGATCTTTCCTGTCCGATTCTAAAGGAGTTTGCCATGTGCTGAGGGTGCCAATTTTTGTTTTCTATGTAACAGAATGTGTTTCCAGTGGAGTATGGCCCTGATTTCGACACAGCACTGGAGACTCTGGTTTGTGAGTTTTTCACCAGACTGGAGGAGCTGCTGCCAATCCCTGATTTCAAACAGGTACAAAGAGGATTAGATAGATAAAAAGTAACCTTGCACGGCAGCTGGATTCTTACAATATTGAATGATCACATGAACATCGATCTTGTCAGTAGGGCATGGATATAAATAAGCCCAAATGTCTCAATTACCAAATCGATTCATTTAAAGGGTATTATACATCTAACCACATGTACAAATCCATCCTTACTTTCCTTTCTTTTTTCAAACCTGTCTCTACGACCTACAGAGCTCAGCCTGAAACGCTCAACAGACCAAAAGGAAGCAAATTTGAGACATGTAGCCCTTGCCAGCTTTGCATTTCACATTACAAATATTGCAGCAACCATTGTTTGCATCTAGTTTTAAACATGCAAGTGCTTTGGGCCCTGCATTCACTGAGAAGCTGCTGCGACATTATCCTGCTCTCTTTCACTGCTGCGCATCTCACCCAGATGCGCTCTCAGGCAAAGAAATATGCTACCCTTAAAAGTAAAGTACAGACTTCAATGCTTAAACATATACTTGTCAAGCTTCAAGTACTGCATATCTGTCCATACAACTATTGTCTGGACAAATTGACGCCTAGCTATGGGCATGGTTTGCATGTGGTGCCTCAAGATGAATCAGGAGACCTGTCATCTTGTGTTTAAAAATGCTTCCTTTTTGGGCCTCCCTTGTATAGACGGCATCCTGGATCAGCGGGGCCCCCTCTGTCCTAGAAGAGTACATGCAGTGTGTCTCAAATGGAGACGACATTAAATTTCTTCTCCAGAGCAAACAGTGCCACGGGAAACTGGCTAAGAGTACAATCGGTACGTGCACAATTTACATTTGCTAAGAACTAGTCGACATACAGTTTTTGAATCGAAGATTTTTGTTAACAATTTGTTTCCCTCCCTGCAGCTCCGTTTCCGCCAGATGATCTTCTCATTCCCTCTCTGTCTCTTCCTCCATCGCTTGAAGTGGCCATCTCTTCCCACCCGAGTGGTTGTGACGACGAAAATATTGACGTTCCTCAGATCGTCATGTTCGATGAAGAACTGTCCACAAACCCTTCCACCTCGACAGACTTTCCCGAATCCCCAAAAAGGACTGATATGTTACCGTCCCCTCGCAGGAGACAATCAGGGCTGCACAAATGTCCAGAGTGTAACAAATGTTTCAAGCACCACTCCGTTCTCACCGAGCACCAGAGGGTCCACAGTGGGCTGCAGCCCTACAACTGCTCGGAGTGCGGGAGGGCTTTCAGGACAGCCACTCTGCTAGCCGGTCACAGGCTACGGAAATGCAAAAACGCCGCTTATCTGTGCATCAAATGTGGGAACAGTTTTCCGACCTCACTGGACAAATTCCGACACCACTGCCCAAAACGTGGCCGTAGCTACGATTGTGGACACTGCGGAAAGAGTTTTCAAAAGTCCAGCAGCTTGAAGGAACACCTGCTGACTCACGTCCAAAGCCGCCTTTTCAAGTGCAGTCATTGCGGGGTAGGTTTTTCAGGAATCGGTGACTTGAAGTATCACCAACAGGTAGATCATGACAAGCCTTATCAGTGTAAGCAATGTGGGAAGAGCTTCATCTCCTCCAAGTGTCTGACCAAACATCAGCAACGACACGAAGAGGGCGGAGAAATGGAGAGTGTCAAATTAATGAGCGGAGGCAAACACAGGAAGAGTGGCTCCGCCCATCGGACTTCCTCCTCATCTATGTCCTCCAGGAAATCCTCGAAAGCTGCATACCCGCGAGGACGAGTCACGCATAACTGTCCACTGTGTGGAAGGAGCTTTAAGTACCGTTTCGAATTCCTCGAGCACCAGAGGTTCCACACCGCGGTGAAGCCTTACAGATGCTCGCAGTGTGGCAAAGCCTTTCGCACGGAGGCTCACCTCTCCAGGCACAGGAAGAGGAAGTGTAAAAATGCATCCCACATTTGCACCAAGTGTGGGTGTCAGTTCAGGTCTCTCCACGAGCGGGTCAGACATCAGTGCGTCCAGCTGCTGACCAAATATGAGTGCTCTCATTGTGGGAAGACCTTCAAGATGGCCCACCTGCTGAGGAACCATCAGATGAGCGAACACCAGCTTCCCTACAGTGCCAACCATCGCTTCAGGTGCAGATACTGCGACGAGACGTTCCCCGGCATCAGCGAGCTCAAATACCATCAGAGGGTTGACCACGAGAAACCCTATCAGTGTCAAGAGTGCGGCAAGTGTTTCCTGTCTGAGAAATGCCTGGCCAACCACGAGCTCCGACACAACGACGACCGACCGGAGAGCTGCCTGGTGTGCGGCCGCGGCTTCAGGAACCGCTACGACTTGAAGCAGCACATGCGCACTCACACGGGGGAGCGGCCGTACCAGTGCACTCACTGTTCGCAGTGTTTCTCCACAGCGGGCGGGCTGCGGAGCCACACCAGGGTTCACACGGGAGAGAAGCCGCACGTTTGCCCAGATTGCGGAAAGGCTTTCTCCCAAATGGGTGCAATGCGCACGCACAGGCTCACGCACACGGGAGAAAGGCCTTTCAAGTGCACAGTGTGCGGCAAAGGTTTCACAATGGCACACAAAGTGACTGTTCACATGCGCGTGCACACAGGGGAGCGCCCGTACGTGTGCACGCAGTGCGGGAAAGCCTTCTCAGATGGAAGTGTGCTGAAGCAGCACATGCTCAACCACTCAGGGGTGAGACCGTACCACTGCCAGATCTGTCCCAAGACCTACACCTGTCTGAACCACCTGAGGAGGCACCTGAAGAGCCACTCCAACATGAACTGAGTAGAACATTTCACACATTCACATTCACACCATTTAACTGCTACAGTTACAAAGGACCAACGAAACCAAGCAATACGTGAAGGAACATAAAATGATGCTGTTGAAATTGAGGTGAAATGTTTCCTCTTCACTGTAAAGTAAATGTAGTCACATTACCCAATTGTGAAGGACTTTTTGAGCATTTAAAGGAATAGTTTGACATTTTTGGGAAATCCACTGACTAATAATTATTTAGATAATCACATGAGAAGATTGATACCACTATTAGACTGTAAGCAAAGATAGATGACATTAGGGCTACCCTCAAGTGAAGCCAAAGCATCTTTATCTCCCCCAAATCTACAGTACAGACTATAAACCCTCCATGTTACTGCACTAGAAAGTCAAAACATACTTCAAATACAATTTGCCCAAAGATAGTTTCTGTCTTTTTAGGTAGTTCTTGTCACACGACGTGCATTCAGGTGTGGATTTTTCTGATTCATATTCAGTTATTTGATGCTATTAAAATGGAGTGACATCATGATAGACAACTGTGATTGACAGCTTGTCTGAGTGAAGTGATCACGGAGCAAGGCTACAGGCAGGGTAACAACGTGTACATTTCATAATGAAAGTATTTATAGCGATAATAAGGTTAGTTATATCAGCCAAACAGGTGCTAACATATCAGCTAGGTGGTTTATGCTAACAAACTGGCCCTGCTCAATACTGCGCAGAATCCATCTCCCAATTATATTTTTGGTTAAGAGACGCGTTGTCTATATATACATAAACTCTATGATGCCACTTTTCAGATAAAGTGGTATCAATCTTCTCTAACGTGGTAAGAATTAAACTATTTCCTTTACGTTAGCACATACTCTTTCTTTCCCCTCAATCCGCACCAGACTGAATTATTTTTGACCAACAGTTTCTTATGCATGAATATGTTTGGATAATATTCCGGATATTATTTCGGTGAATGTGCAGAAACTGTAATATTGGTGAAAATATATTTTTGCAAAGGCTTCTAAAGCAATGGAATAAAATCGAATGTTAAATGTTGGCTGTAAATATACTGAGAGAAATGTGTGCGTGCCTGAGAGGTTCAATGGTTTATTTCAACATGAAATAACTTTATTCCTGCAGGCCTTTTATCTCACCCAATTATGGTTTGCAAGGTTCATGAATTTCACATTAAATTCCCTTGGTAGTACCTTGTGTTTGTTGATACCATTTTGTTAAACAAAGGAAAACTGTTAGAGTTGGGAGGAAAAATGGTGGAAGTTGCAAAGGGAAATTTGAAATTGCATTTGCTCTCTGAATAAATGTTTCACTAGATGGCAGCAGATAACCAGTATCATCTCCCCCTTACACTCCATGCACTGTAAGACAGTTATAGGCATACAGTAGGGATGAAATTAAGAATGGCATTAATCAAGAATCATCTGCTTCTCTGCCGGCTGTAGACGATTAAAATATGTCTGAGAGACGAGAGATTGATAAGGGACTACAGCAGGGGAAGTTGGCCCGGCCCATTTCCTGTCATTAGCCTAATTTGGAGGGGTTTGGTATTCTGATTAGCCAGCAATTTCCTGATGTTTTGACTGGTGCCGAGCGGTATCTGAAGTGGTTTAAACCAAAAGAAGTCCTCACTTTTTGTTGTGTTTTCACAGTGCCATTCAGCCTTAACAGTGAAGTTTAAACTGGACCACCAATGTTTCAGTTACCTTGTCGGCATATGTAGACTTACGTCATGCGTTACAGGCACAGTGTGATTAATCTCTTCCATCTGTGCTGTACTGACTTTCATGTTTTTCGCTGGAAGAAAGAGGCTTTTTCCCCCCCTCATTTCCCCCTTGTGTTTCATCTCATCCATGTTCTTTCATTTACATATGAATCATATTCTCTTGAACAAACCAAAATATGTGCCATTCACAGGGAGATGAATGATGTGGAGGCTCGTTAAATGTTGCAAGATGTTAAACACCACACTATTCCGTCTCTCTCTGACTCAGAACTGCTACTAATCTCCTCCACTGAACATCAGGATCCTGCGGAAACTCGCTCTGCATCCTGTGCCTGGGACATTATGCAGAGCATGCTCTCAGATTTAGGAAGCATAGGAGTTCTCCTTTTCTTCATGTTAGGAGCTTTATCTTCACCTTTTGAGGACAACCCCCAGTTGGTTTTCCTCTGGGGAAAAGATAATGACTCCATAATGAGGTAATTCACTGAACTCAAAGCCATCTGCCAGATTAAGGACCGTTAAAAGATGCCTTCCTTTGAAAAACATCACCATGAGACTGTAAAACACTCTTAAATGCTTGGCTAATGAATTCCTCAAGATTTTTTTATTGTTTAATGTATTCCTGATCCTGGTATTGAGACATTTCAAAAATAAATGCATCACAATTTACACCCCCCCCAACAGCTGCCAGAAATCCAACAGATTTACTATCAGAGAGCGTGCTAATAAATGCAGATCATTCCCAGATGTCCCCCCTCCTCTCTCCTCATCATCCCTCCTTTCCTTCCCTCCTTCTCCTCACAACTTTTCCAACATGAAAAGGTGATCTCAGTGGAAAATCTGACTCCAGGCCAGGCCTTCCTCACAGTTTGAGCTCAACACACAAACGTATGTCCACAGCAACCACCCAGCATCCACCCACATCAACACCTTGCCAAATGCCCACGCCTCCACACATCTCTGCCTGCTTCCATGGAAGTGCCTCACTGTACCCCGAAACTCTTTCCAAAGTCCTGTCCAACATTTGTTCTCAAGAAGCACTAGATGGCACTGTGTCTCTTCCTGCTTCTGGGGGGAAATTACTAAAGACCCCCACCCTCCTCCTGCTCATCTTGCTTTCATGTTCAGGTCAGGTCTGGATGTTGAAATGAACCAGATGTATTCAAACCCCACCCATCTCCCAAAGAAATGAGAGACTTTTCTAAAGAAAGGGAATACAAACGCTTCCAATATGGGTCAGCTGCTTTTCATTAAGTTTGATGAAGTGACTCAAGTGTGCATTCTATTCTTGTTCTTAATGTTGTACATGGCATATTATGCTCACGACACAAAAGCACCACACACGTCTGATTTTTCATTTTAAATGTCCTGAAATTATTACAAAACAATCACGATCAGTTTTACACGCACTCTCCTCCCTGCAAAGAAGAATCTGTGCACATCAGAGCCTCCTCTCCAAGTCAGCAGATGTGTTGTTTATTCCTGAGTATATCCACGTCCCTTTCGCCCTTTTAAGGAAGCATGCATATCTGGGATTTTGAGTGAATTTTTTAATCCGTGCGCGTTCTCGTCAAATCCTTACCGCCCGTCCTCAGTGAGAGCGCGTGAAATCTATCCTCCTCCCTCTCCTCCCCCCTCCTCCCTCTCCGTGCGCGCTGGTCCTCCTCTGCGCGCTCTGTGGATCGCCTTGGACAAACTGCGGCGGAGCGCTGGATCACCGAAAAGTGTGCCGAATCGGTGTAGGGTCCTATAAGTATTGGGATTGGGGTCGGAGTGTTTCGAAATATATTTTTTGTGGGTATTGTGTTGTTTTTTGACTTATTAGTAGTTTTTTTCGCCGTTTAAACATGGAGACGTTGAGAGGTCTCCTTGCGCTGCTCTGCGTTTTCCTGGCCGGAGCGCAGACAACGACCCAAAAAGACAGGTTTGCGGGTAAGTTTGCTGAAATATGTTCCAAGAAAAATGCTACAGTTACTTATGATCATGGCTTTTTCTTGCATGTTAACATTTCGTTGTGTTTGAATGTAACATGTCATACAGAGTGAAGTGACGTTTGCTCCCAGAGATAGTCCAGATGTTCCTTGTCTTTTGCTTCCCCAAGTGTGAAGCCTTAAAAGGGCGTACAGATGCAATATAAACTGTAAATAAGATCAGAACATGACAGTAGCCTAGCCCACTTTAAGCAAGCCCTTGTTTGATCCCATGGTTGTCTTAATAGGCTATAAGAGCTGGGTGGGATGCAGACTAAGAAGTACCAGTGCTGTGAATGCAAAGTGATACATTTGGACAAATTGCAGGTGATGGTACCTCAGGCCTGCTGCCTTGCCAAGTTACAGTGCATAAGGGCCAGTACAGGTGTAGCTACATGCAGACAGCTATGAGTGTATAGGTATTTAGTACAGGCCTGCCCCTGTCTACCTGTATAGATACATGTATCAAGTAAATTGCCAGCGTTCTCCAAAAAGCATTGTGTTAAAATGAGGTTGGCCTCCAGTGCTGCAGTAAAGCCTACAATCTATGAGTGACACCTGTGCTAGCATCACTTGAATTGATAGATGGATAATAAGTTGATAATGCATGGGTTTGCTGCTTCATAAACACTTTGTTGGTTGTATGCTTGTTCAATGCATGCATCGTGTTTGCTGACAGCGATCTTTGTTTGTTTATCTGTTTTTTTATTTGTGTGTTCAGATTGTCCGGTTGACCTTTTCTTCGTGCTGGATACATCCGAGAGTGTCGCCCTCAGACAGACACCTCCCAACCGTTATATTGACCAGATCAAACTCTTCACCAACACCTTTATAGATGAACTCAAGGAAATGTAAGAAAAACACACACAAACAAACACCCACACACAAACAAACACACACACACACACACATACACACACACACAGCCTACACACACATTTGTAGGTTACTCACTTAAAAACGTACTTCGCTCCCACAGTGGTGTAACTTAGCATGCTGCAGTGATGTACAGGTGTACTCTGGGACACTGTGACATCACCACACCCCCCCCCCCCCACTGACTGGTAGGCCTACTATTAACCACAGCTTGGTGTTAACCATATACTGTATGGAAGATGGATGTTGTCACTGTGACGTCTCTCATTGTCATGTAAAATATAATTTAGTCGCCTTGAGTTTGGCTGATACTGTTAGCATAACAAACGCTAAGTTTCACGTTAAAGCTAACGCTAGCTTGGTTAGCAAAGTGCATGCACCATCCTTTAATTTGTGCATTTTTCGCTGTTCACAATGTTGTACGACTCCTCCCTTTTATTCTAATGAGAAACCTTTGTTCTGTTATATAAAGATCAGTGTCCTGGTTGAATAATATTAACCAGTTTTCCAGTATTTAGCCAAGTTTCAGTTAAACAAAAGACTTAACAGTTCTTGCTATCCAGTTCAAAACTGACGCGGTCAACAAATGCTTGCCCATTGCAAGCAGGAGCCTGATGTAAGATTAACCGCCTAGGTAGCCATATTGTTTGTCCAGTATATACAATTCTCCAGACACAACAAACCCGGCAGAGATATAAAGTTCAGTAACTCAAATAAACGTAGGTTTTGCCTAGCAGACAGCTAGCTGCTATGACAGCTCACTCCTGTCACTCCCTAAAGAAGGCATAACTTTGATCTTAATATCATTTGAACAGGTCAGTTGCCAAATTTCAAATCCTAAAATTGTCATAAACAGATACAATATGGAGCCATAGGGACCAAAAGTGTTAAAGTTGGCCATTTTAACATGGGGGTTATTGGAGATTGACTCGCTTTTGGAGCCAGCCTCGAGTGGCCATTAGAGGAACTGTATTCATTGGCACTTCATCGTTGACTTCCTTCTCCAGCCCTGGAGGTTGCTTCATATTGTGTGAATTATTGTCCACAAAGTATCTTTAAACAGAATTGCAATGGTCAGTGTCCTAATATTATGATGCTTTAATTTTTTATTATTACAACTACTTCATCATAATTCATCATCTCTTACTCAACCATAGGAGGTTTTGTATGTCAAGTCAGAATCTGCAAAGAAAATAATAACTGATGCTGTTTGATAACTCAAGAATGAAGTGTATCATGGAGAAAATTCCACCACTGCCTCTCCGTACCATACTGCATTAAGTGAAGCTGATAGCTGTACTATAGGATAACTGTTACTAAGCAAACTATCTATTGCTTCAGGCGCCACCGATGTGACCGCATCCTGACGTGGAACTCAGGAGCGCTGCATTACAGTGACGATGTCAAACTGGTGCGAGCACTGAGTGATTTGAGGACTCAGCGCGAGGAACTGAAGGCCGCCGTCAACGGCATCGACTACATCGGCAAGGGCACTTACACTGACTGTGCCATCAAGCAGGGCCTGGCTGAGCTGCTCATTGGGTAATATTAACTCACACTAACATGAATACTCTAGCAGATTATGTTTAAGAGAAGTGTTAACATTTCTGAGTGTGTTTGTTTTGCAGGGGCTCCAACTACCATGAAAACAAGTACATCGTGGTAGTGACCGATGGCCATCCCCTTACTGGTTACAAAGAGCCATGTGGAGGCGTACAGGAGGCCGCTAATGAAGCCAAGCAGCATGGCGTCAAAGTGTTCGCTGTTGCCATCTCACCTGACCAGGAGGTACCGAAAACACACAAACACACACATATTCAAACTAGTATGCTGTTGAAGTCCCTCATTAGAATATTACATTTATAAAATACACCCCAACTTAATTCAAAACCCCAATCCTTACCCATAAACTTATGAGAATAAAGGTAAAGAAATCTATTTTCTTAATCAGTTTCAATGCCTTTGATTATTTCAATGATTTATTTCCATTGTAGTGTTTGTTCTGTGGCTCAGTTGGGAAAAATGTATTTCAAGATTGTGGCTGCACTAATCAGAATTTGATCCGAACTTGATGAAAAATGTTGGGTTGTGTGGTAACGGTCAATCATTTAAACTACACCGTCTCTAATTAGTGTTGCTGTTTTAAGTCATGATCAGTAAAAAGAGAAATATTCAAAATGTTAAACAACCCTTTCAGTGTCTTTCAATTTCTTATTATATCCTAAATACAGTATATACATATGAATTGTATTTTGAATCGGTCTCTATGTACTCTATGTGAGTCCTACTGTAGCTTGGGCGAAAATATAATTAAGATCTCCGAAACTCAAAAAGGGAATTTCACAATAAAACTGCTTATAGAATGCCAATAAATAAATTACACTGCTAATGCCATATACAGCATTAGTTACTGTACAGCCAAAACGTGTAATGCGTTTTTGCAAACAAGGGCTTTAATCTTAAACTAATTCTAACATTATCCTTCAAATCAAGTTATGACACTCAAACAGACTGGCTGTGTTGTCATTGAATTAAGGTGAACTAAAGTAAAGTGAGTTACAGTAAATGTAAGCGTACTGACTCTCAAAATCTAAAACTCAAATGTGACTCATATGATCTACATTTCAATGTGATGAGGCTGAATATAATACATAATCACTAGATGATGGATTCAACAAGTGTTTTTGATCTTTGTTTGATTTTTGATCTACATGGAAATCCAACTGTAGATGATGCCTGTTATATTGGCAGCAGGATAGCGACCATATTGCCAGAAGCTAATGTTGAGCTAGCTGCCATGTGATGATGATGTGTGTATCTGTGTCTACCTAGGACACCAGGCTGTCAGTCATCGCCACAGATGAAAACTACAGACAGAACTTCACTGCTGCTGACAACTCCATGGCCAAAAAGATGACAACCATTCGCACCATCATCGATATGATCGTATGTGTCCTCTCCTCTCCTCTCCTCTCCTCTCCTTTCCTTCTCTCCTCTCCTCTTCTCTTCTCTTCTCTTCTTTTCTCTTCTCTTCTCTTCTCTTCTCTTCTCTTCTCTTCTCCTCTCTTCTCTCCTTCCTCTCCTTTCCTCCTCTCTCCTCCTCTCTCCTCTCCTCTCTCCTCCTCTCTCCTCTCCTCTCCTCTCTCCTCCTCTCTCCTCTCCTCTCCTCTCCTCTCCCTCCTCTCTCCTCTCTCCTCTCCTCTCCTCTGTATATATGCAATTCAACGTTTATTATTTGCACTAATTTTCTGTTTTCTTTCCCTCTTTTCAGACAAACCAGACAAAGGATACGGTAAGATGTTTGTGAAAGGAGGTTACATTTTGTTTAATTTATGTGTTTGCTAACTGCCTTTATATATTAAAGAAGGCGGTACATAGTAATTGTGCATTGGTTAGTTTAATCAAACGTATGTGTATGCACAGTAAGTACTGTAGATTCAAACGATCAGATCATACTGCACTATTCCACATCATAACTTTATTTCATTTTTATAACTATTATTATTTTTGTATTGCTCTTGCTCTTATTGTTATTATGTTATGTTATTATGTTGCATTGTTGGAGAAGCCTGTGACATAAGATTTTCAACTGCATAATTACTCTGTAGCTATGTCAGATTGACAATAAAGAACCTTGAACCTTGAACATTTTCACTTTAAAGCTTTTTTGGCAGTGTGTCTATTAATTTTCAGACTGAATGCACTCAGCTAACAGTAGGACCTTTTAGACTGGGTGCTTGGGCCTTACTCCATTTTTGAGTATATACAAAAGCAGTCCTATTTGTCTTTATAATATTGACACTCCCTTCATCGCTGAGTATTCTGGCAGCTGAAACATCCTGACAGCAGAGTAGTTTATGATAAGTTTTGCTGATGCAACTCGAATAGACAAAATTCTTGTCTACTGCATGTCAGGGCTTAAAAATGTTAACAAAGCAAATCTCTCCACTAAACAAAGTTTATTTATTTTTGGCTACAACAATTATTTATGTTATAAATGCGATAAATCTTACCTAAAAGTAGTGAGGATGCTTACAGGGTCTATATTTGTGTTGTATTTTGACTTATTTTAAGGCTATTACTTTCCTTTAGCTCATTCTCAGTTGTTTATTCTCATTACTGCTAGTCTAAACTGTAAAGTAAACTCAGGAAACAAGGAGGGGTCATTCAGTGCAGCCACAGGAAGCTGAAATGAGCACGAAAAGCAAACTGAGATTGAAGTGATATTCACTATCTTTGTACAGTATATCCAGCAAAACCATTGCAGTTATATGTTAAATATGAGTTATATTACCCAGCCTGACAGTCACCTGATAGTTAAACTAAGTATCACTTATGATCTGACCAGAAAACAAACTACCCCTTGAATTTATCAAAAATAATCTTCAAAATGTATAGATACAGAGAGCTTTTTCTGATGTAAGGTGTTTAATATATTCTCTTTTTTTCCGCAGTGTTGCTCTTTCGACTGCAATGTAAGTATAGTATTAATTATGCTATCGTCAACATTAATTCCTCTTCGGCTTCGAGCAGCTGTTTTACTTTTTGTATTCTATTGTTTTGTCTGCAGGCTCCAGGAGGGCCCAAAGGATCTAACGGAGGCGGTGGCGCTAAGGTGTGATGACATAATATACAAACAACCAATTATACCTTTTTTAAGCACTAGAGATGGCCGTCCAGAAAATGCAAAGAATATAACATTATCTGTTCTTTTTTTGCCTCTCTACAGGGAGAATCAGGCAGACCAGGGATGCCAGGAGAGAAGGGAGATATTGGCGCCACGGTAGGTGACATCCTCCTCCACCACAACACCAACACACAAACATGCATGCAAGAGGACACAACAAGCAGACAGAGTTCTTTTGATTATGCATGCAGGCTTAATGGAAGGGTCATCCATGTTGTCTAATATTTCTCTCTGTGTGTTTACAGGGCAGCGTTGGAGATCCTGGTCCCATTGGTTACAGTGGAATGAAGGTAGGGTTCACTTAAGTCTGAATCAAACATCTTCTATAGACAGATATTGGATCAGAAAGTTATGAGTAATGGATGCTAACATACAAGCAAATTGACACTGAGTTTGTCCGTTCTCTTTTGCATACTTATTGGATTCATATTAGAAAAATATCACATTTTCAATACACTATTATGATGGCCAAAAATAATCCAGATAACTACATTTTAGCGATGTCTTGAAAGTAAAAACCTCAAAGCTATCAATCAAATGTAAACTTTTATTTGCTTATTGTGCATTTTGTCTCTTTTTTGCCAAATAATATAATTTCGGTGTTGGGTAATGGGTAGTGAGATGAGCGAAAATAATTAGAAATGATTAAAGAGGCGCTGCATTATTTATATGTTATCATCACAAATGGATTTTAAACATTATATCAATTTTTTTTTTTTTTACATATCACAGTATTGGTCAATACCAATTAATCGCCACACTCTCAATTAATAATATGAAGCTAAAATAATCATTTAAAATAGATGAAACCATTCTGTTATAGGAACAGGGTCTTTAAGGGGTCTGTAATGCATATACATAGTCATCAAATGCCAGTGTTTTATATATTGTTCATATTGTAGTCCAAAACTAAAGGTCAGTTTCTCTATGCAGTGCATTTGATAAACATATGAGGTCCAGTCATTTGTTGTCCAAGGATTTGTCTGAAGCCATATCCACCTTTTTAGATTCACAAACATGGTTATGACCCAGAAACAAACTGACAACAGGAAGTTTGTTGGAGGAAACATTTACAAACCTAAACAAATGTTATATTCCCATGTTGTTTAGCTGTGACCTCTCTGATCACTTCATGACATTTCTAACATGTGTATTTCTGTTTGCAGGGAGACCGTGGTGGCCGAGGAGAAAAGGTACTAACATTTAAAAACATCTGATTAAACAGGATACCATTTATGTTTGAGAATTTCTGTACTGTGTAATTCACGGACATGGCTAACTAACGCTGTGTGTTTTTCTTGCAGGGTGGAAGAGGACACAAAGGCTTCAAGGTGAGCTCCTCTTCACAGCTCCAGAGGGCTGCTCACTATCTGTGATCTCTTGTTCAATTATTATTTTATTCTACTTCATCATCTTGTCGTATTTTCTCAGGGGGACAAAGGTCTAATAGGGAATGACGGAATCGATGGACGCAAGGTGAGTAACAGACCCCGAAACATCCCAACACTACGGCCTCTCTGTGTGGCTGATGTTTTGCTGATTCGATAAAGTTGTTTGACGTTTTGTTTCTCTGGTTTTCCTCATTAGGGTGAGGCTGGTTTCGCTGGTCTTCCCGGCTGTAAAGGATCTCCCGGATCAGATGTGAGTCGTTTATCTTAATCTCAGAGTAATCCCACTGTTAGGGTCTTCAGGTTGGCCTCAACTCAACTTACTTATGGCACACATTGCACAGTTTGAATCCAAGACAAATGGAAATCCTTAGATGACATCAGGTTTGACACCAAACCCTCACATGTGCAGGTGTCAGGTCACACACTGTTTTAGCTCTCTTTTAAACAGACGTACACACTCAAACAGGCCATTTCCGTATCCGCCCGAGGCTCAGCTACATTGTTTACAGATCATCCATTAGCCACAGTTACATGTTTAGGAATGCCACCCTGGGTGCGGCCCTGAACAAAATCCCGACCTGCGTCTGGATTCCCCCCCGGGACAGGCCAACTGAGGCTTGCGGCTCTTAATCACTGCTGCGTTTACATTCTCTGCTGTCATATTGTTTAAATGAAGCCATATAGACATACTGTAAACACACACACACTCGCAGGGCCCCTGAGATTGAGTGTTGTGGCTTCAGCTGCTTGTGATCATGTACTGAGATCATGTCTGTGTTTCCTGCTTCCAGGGCATGCAAGGAGAGTCGGGACCAAAGGGAGACTCCGGTCCTTATGGGCTGAAAGGAGGAAAAGTAAGATGTGAAAAAAAATATCTGTGCTCTTTATTAGGGCTGTGTATCTGTAAGAACTTAAAATATGATACGTATGAAGACACAGGGGTCACGATTCAGTATACTTCATTACTGTAAAGTAGGCAATATAAAGCAATGTTTTCAAATCTATTTTTAGGGAAAAGTGTCATAGCATAAACTACCATATGCGTGTAATCTGAGTAAAATGTTTTTACTTTTTCATGCACTAAAAACAGTGCAACCTTAAGTCCCTGTATAAACCAATAGCATAGCACTATCTGTTTAGCGATATAAGTGTAAGTAGTCAAATTTGACTTAATAATTTTTTTAATCAAAGTGCTCACATTTTTTAACTATTTATTAAAAATGAAATTCTTGGGCTGCCCAAAAAGTTATTTAAAAAAAAATGTGTTTGTGTTTTTGCAAATCGATCGACAGTATCCCAGAAAATACACAAATAGCAATACTCAAGTGGAGCAATATTTTCTTACGCTACTTACCAAGATGTCAAATTGGTTTTCAGTGCATTGTAATAAGACACGTTTTGTTTTAGGGAGATGCTGGAGGAGATGGCGAATCAGGAAGGCCTGGAAACTACGGCCCTCTGGGACCTAAGGTAAATCAGTACAACATAAAATATGGATCCGTATGATCTCCGGATCTTCTTCGAGGAAATGTGACGCTTTTATCTGTGTTGTGACAGGGTGATCGCGGCCCTGGCGGAAACGATGGGGACAAAGGAGAGCGCGGCGATGATGTAAGCGATGTAGCACCTGACAACGGCAGGAACATCAACTCTATGATCTGTATTGGCTCGTCCTAATTTCCTTCTTTGTGTTTTTCTTCGACAGGGCCCACCGGGACAGGATGGCCGTGGCGGCGAGGGCGTAAATCCGATTATGAAATGATTATCAATCTGAAAATGAAATGATTATTATTGACGAGTGTGTGACAGCTACCAAAATATCTGTTGACATCTTTAAAATGCCTTATAGGGACCATTGGGAGAGAAAGGCGAGCAAGGTTCCCGTGGAAACAGAGGGCCGAGAGGAGACCTGGTAAGTGATGATAAGGACGATGAGAAGGGAGGAAGTGCAGTCCCTCAGGGTCTGTGTGTTTTCAGCAAGTCCTCCTTAAAAAAATCCATGGGAAATGCTTTTTGGCATTTGTATCGAGTCAATTTCAACAGCCTTAATGGAAGACTGTTTCCATAAAGTAATTCCCCATGTGCTCCTACTGCTCTAACTTTGTTTGAAAGTTGGCTCTGTGTGCTTCACTTGTCCATTGTTACTGTCCTCAACGCCTTTAGCTTTTTATACATTTGTTCTTTTCCTTGCCAGGGGGAGCCCGGACCCCGTGGAGACCAGGGGAGGGAGGGCTCAGCTGGCCCCAACGGAGACCCTGTAAGACACACTCAAATACACATTTACATAGATACAAACACACGGGAGCTATAGAAACCACTGTTAGTTAGCATGTTGTGTAGAGTTACCGTAGGGGGACCACCCTCTTCTCTATCTGGCACCATCCTTATTTTCCAGTAGGAGAGCAGACCTTGCTTCCTTCTGCGTGTGCACTTGTGAGCATCCATATTTCATGCTGAGGAGGAGTAGCTTTATTAGGCAGAAGTTTAAACAGAGGCCAACCTGGCTGCTGCCCCAGAGCGCTGCCCACTCCTCCTCATTCTCAGCTCTTACTCCACCAGGGAACATCCACACTCACTCTTTCCCCTCTGACTCAGTTCTTCTCTCCGTCCGCCCCAGCCAAAGCCTCAGTATGGTTTTCCTAATAGGGCACCAGGCAGTGTAATAATAATGATACGTTACAAGCATTAGTTGTGGTCCCCTCTGTGATGTCAAGACTTTGAATGGCTCTTTTGTGCTTTCTGCTTTGATTGAGTAAACCGTGTAATACAGAAAACATGGAATAACAAACATGTTAGACCTACCTCATTGACTGAGGAAAAACTGTCCTCATGCTCGGTAATGTCATGGAAGCCATTTGCACTCAAAAAGCAAGGCATAGCACAAGTATTTATAACCTAATTTTAACATATTAGCAATGTTGTTGTAGTATCAGTGTATTTTGCCATTTCTGCAAATATATCTATTATTCTGTCCAATCTTGAGACAGATGTAAGTAAGTAGAGCAGTAGTAATTGAATGTATCCAGTCGATAGATAGAACCGGTCTTGATTTAGCCAAGCAGACACTGCAATGAGTAAGCCTTGAGAAAAAAAAGTTTTGGCTTCGAGGAACTCTAAGACGAAGGGATTTCTTCCATTTCAACAGTGTAACTTCAGGACAAGAATGAGGTGATGCATGCAGCAGCCGGACACAGCTGTTGTTTGTGAGGAAAGAGCACACATTCAAAAGCGCACTCCTTCTATCGACTACAGTCACATGGCTGTTGGAGCTCACCATTGGTGTGATCCAAACTAATGCACTAGTGCCCTAAAGCTGCGCAATCTCCAATGGGGGCAAAACAGGGGGGCAAAAGTCAGATCTTAGAACTTTAATCCTATCTGTTCTTCGTAAAACAAATTGGTCAACTAAAAAGGTGTTTGGTTGTTCCACCCTCTCCTGTCACTTCTGTTACCAAAGAATATGATGGAGACGGAATAAACAAATCTCAAATCTTCAAAACCTTAAACCACAAACCAATTGGTTACGTCACGGTTAACACGTTATTTTCAGACTATTGATCCAAGAGTCCTTGAAAATGTCAACCAGAGAGGGCAGTAAAGAAAATCACATAAATATACAGCCTTGTATTAAGTATTGCTTTGTTGAGGCAATTACAGGCTAGCTCTTATTTAACTATCCATCACATGTTAACAGTTTTCCTGTGCCAAAGACTCATTGGAGACATAGGTGAGGAATTCTTCCAATAAGCTTTTTCATTTTTTTTTTTTAAACATGGTTGTCCAAAAGTACAGCATTGGATACCTTAAATATTGTCCAAAAGTGTGTCAGTAACCTACTTCTTCAAAACGATGTCAAAGCCTGTTGCCAGTTTTTTTTCATTGTGCTTTATGTGGTTGTTTTTGTAGGAAAAGTGTTTTAACTGCGTCTCATTAACGGTGTTGTTGTTTTCCAGGGCGAGTCTGGCAAGGCCGGGTCTCTTGGCTACAGAGGAGATGAAGGCACACCTGGACCAGAAGTAAGCCCAACAAGACACAAACACGCACACATGTTCCCGAAGAGCATACATTTACTAAAAGATCCTGAAAACACACATTTGCTCAATACATAAGCTTCTAACTATGAGTGATTTGATCTAGATGAACACTTTTCTGATCATTTCACATGAGAGAAGATAGTTTTGGTGTTTTTATTGGACCTCGTGTTTTAAGTGGGCGCGGCTAAACTGGAAAAAGGTTGATGTCACATAGTTCCATGAACCAATCAGGTTTAAGCAATGTTTGAATCTGAATCTGAAGACAGTTGTTTGGTCACAGTTAATTCAATGTAATCAAACCACGCCCACTCTCACGAAGATTAGCTGAAAAGAGTATCAACACTTAACTTACAGTAATTTGTTTTACATTTTATAGGAAGCTTTTTAGTGTTAAACCCAATAAGAACTAACAGCTCACATTTTTGTTTTTTTTACCATTATTTAAAGCAGGGTTGCCAACTTTGGGTACCTGGCTGGAGTGAGATTGTGATATCATGGGTTTAATTCGGTTTAATTACACATATGCGCACAACATGACTGCTATCGTGTCAGCAGCGGGACCTTAGCATATATATAGGATATATATACAATATATACAAATACACAATAATGAACACAGACTATAAAGGGCACACAGTTTCATTCACTAATGAAAGTCAAACATGTTTGTTTCCACTGTTTTATTGTGTGCCTGTCGCGATAAGCAATTAATTGACTTATCGTACGATAAATAAAAATGAACTCGATAACTTTTCTGACCTCGATAAATTTCCATTTACATGAGGATGTGACTAGCAGTTTGAAAGGATGTACTTGAATTATTATTATATATTATCATTATGTCAGTGGTCTAAAATGGTCATACAACGGTGCCGACAATATTATCGTTTATCGCAATAATTTCCGGGAAAATGTATCCAACAAAATTAATTATCGTGAGAGGCCTATACATGAAACACACACACACACAAACAAATCTACAGACTTACTCCAAACTGCCAAATATATTAATTAACACACTCTCACTCTCATATACTCTTTGACTCTATGTTGGCCTAGTAGAACAATAAGCAGCAGACTTTTACTTTTTTATCATTTCTACTGGATCTTAGATCTGCGCATGCGCTCCAGAGTATTTTTGTTGGGTAATCTATGGTAGGGCTAACCCATACAGTGGTGGGGCTTAAATCAGTATTTGCAATGTAATTACATACACGCTCCCCCCGACAGTGAAACGCCACGCGTGAGGTTTAGATTATTTCCCTGTCTCAATCCAAATTGAACTGTATGAAATAAAAAGGCACATTTGTCTTGTAGTAAATAAAAAGGGCGACCTGGAGCCAATCCTGCAACAGGTGAAAGAGTTGACATGCTGAAAACCCAACCCCTGCAGGGGGGTCTGGGGGGATTCTCCCCCAGGAGATTTTTTAAAATCCTAACATAAAATAAACATTCTGGTACTCTCTTGAGAAGAAAAATAAATAAATCTATTACTACACATTTAAAAAAATGAATGCCATATTAGTTTTTTGTTACTTTGTTCTGAAAGCTGAACCTGCTGCAGCAGTGCTGCTCCTCACAGAGAGAAGAGGGAAGAGGCTGTGTGAATTACTTTACATTGTGGATATGGGTGGATAGCCCCCATTGTTCTGTGTGTCAAAATGAAAGACAGCCCACACACCTATCAATCATCAAACCGTGGGGTCTTATTTCATTACGTGTTGATTTCTATCAACACGTAATGTTGTATCGATGTATAGAGATGTACTACCACAAAAGTATTCTCCGTCGGGACTTCCTGCAACAACACCACGCCGTTATCGTGATTCTGATTGGCCAGAAGACATTATCAAAGATGTTCTATTGAGAATACGATCACTACGTGACAAAAGTTTTCAAAACCGTTTCTAGTCTTCGTATTCTTGTTTTTGGCGTGAGAATAGTTTGGGCAGCGTGAGAGCGTGAGATTGAGAGTGAAAGCGTGTGTCACACGCCAGATGCGTGAGAGTTGGCAACCCTGAGTTAAAGGTAGGGTAGGTAATTCACTTCAGAAACACTTTTTGTTATATTCCATGGAATGCTCTTAACATCCCGATAGCAATGAATACATTAAATGCTTTGACAATAAACATATACAAATATTTCATCTGTGGAAGCCGTGGCGCTGTAAAAAGCACGACCAATGCATCTACTGCATTCAAAAAGCTCTCATCATCATAAATCATGTGTATTACACACAGTATCATAAAACCAGATAACAATAGCCTACCCTGCGGCAGATCGCAATAATTTATTGTGCTGTAGACCTTTTAAAAGTTGTTTCGCTACATGTAGAAACACACATAGACACACACAGAGTATGATAACATCAAGATGTCTTCAACAAAAACATGGCATGTCACATTTCATATGTTTCCAATCCTATCATTCCTTACCAAGGGACCCAAAGGACCGAGAGGAATCAAAGGAGGTCCGGGAGACAGAGGCCAGATCGGGGAGAGGGTGAGTGTGGGAGACATATGTGTGCCATCCATCATATTCCCCACCATGAGCTGTGTGTGTGTGTATGTCTGAACTGTAAGTGTAACCATTTCTTAATTTCAGGGAGAAGATGGTTTGCCAGGAAATGGTACTGCAGGTTGTCCTGGTTTCCAGGTAAGTGTTAATACTAGTTAATGCTTATTATGTTTGACACATACACAATTTTAAACATGTATGTCTTTCTTTAGGGTTATCCTGGGCCACGTGGAGATGCTGGTGAGCCGGTAAGTTATCTTACAAGTTTCTATTTGAACTTCTATGCATATATTTTGGATGAATATAATGGAATTATAGGAGGCTTTAAATTCAGATTGGGCTTCCCAGTACTATACATTTACACATCAACAATGAATATGAGCAGCCATGTTGGAAGTTCACTGCCAACATTGTAAAATCAATTGTCACGCTCATGACCTCTCTAATTTGCTGTGTGACCTTCAGGGTGGTAAGGGAACCCTTGGACCCAAAGGAGATGACGGAGATGCCGGAGATCCAGGCCCCGATGTGAGTCTGCCTTTTTGCAGTTTGTCCTCAATCTTGCTCTCGTTTTTATCATTCCTACATCCCTTCTTGGCAGAGAGCGCAGACAGGATGTGAGTCACACATATCTGTTATGTTCGCGTTTAATTTTTTTATTTTTACTGGTCTCTTATAACACTTATAATTTATGGCACAATATGTTTCATATTTTAATTTAATTTAATTTATGTTGCGTGTGTGTATGTGGTGGTGTGTGTGTGTGTGTGTGTGTGTGTGTGTGTGTGTGTGTGTGTGTGTGTGTGTGTGTGTGTGTGTGTGTGTGTGTGTGTGTGTGTGTGTGTGTGTGTGTGTGTGTGTGTGTGTGTGTGTGCGCGTGTGTGTGTGGGGGGGGGGGTTGTGTGTGTGGGTGTATGTGTGCGTCTTTTGGGAAGAGGGCTTTGAGCTGATGCAGCTGTGTATATGTCGTTGTCAAGGATACCAGGAAATGAGCAGAAACGATGTAGGGACTACATCACTTTTTTAATGTGTCTGTGTGTGTGTGAATTAAGCATGCTGTTTTAACACTTGAACTCCTGGTTTAACTCGGTCATGTTTACATAAAAGTTATCGAATTTCCAAGGTTCGTGTTTCACGGCATAAACATTTCTGCACATGTTTGTACTTTCTCTCATCTGTACATCAGTGCACCTTGACCTCTTGTCTTTCGAAGGAGTCACACTTTATAAGCTTTGGGTTTACAGTGTCAGATTAGTTTACCACACATCAAGAACTTGTGAAACAGAGCAGGTTTATATTCGTGTCGTTCACCCAGTCGATGTTTACCTCTTCCACGTTTTTTTCTTTGTGCTTGAGTAAAGCAGAATACCGTAAACATCTCACAACCTTCCTTACTGATTCTACGGCTGCTTTATGACCTAAAACCTTGATAAAAAGTGAATTATCACCAACTCACAACATTTTATACAGTCAGTATAGTGGAAACCATTATTCCTTACTAAATCGTCTTGATTTCAAACTACTTGAAGGTATTCGCTTCATTGACTTCATCTAGCCTGCTTCTCTTACGGAAATATAAAATGCCAACACCACGCCTCAATCAGTCTATAAACTAGTGGTAAGCTTTGGAAAAGGGTTGGAAGGAATGTAAAGTAAATGGGCTAAAACATATAAAATCACCCATGGTCTTTAACTTAGCAAAACTTACACATTGTTTTGGATATGTACTTTTGGCAAAATATATTTCATTTTGTTGCCAGCTCCTTTGCTAACACATAATAGTGTGGTCATTTGGGAATTACTCATAATCACTTCTTGGCAAGAGTTAGTGAAGAACATTAGCAACACTCAGTTAATATCTTAGATATACAGCTACAGTCAGGAGACGGTTAGCTTAGCATAAAGACTGGAAGCAAAACAGCTAGCCTAGCTCGGAAACTTGCTTTGCTGCACCTCTAAAGGCCCGGACACACCAAGCCGATTTTGGCCGTCGGTGGACGTCAGGCCGACGACGAAACAGTCGGCCAAAGGCAGTCGGCAAAAAGAAATCACTCTGATTGGCTGTTCAGCTAGCGAATCAGAGCATGAGAAGCGAAACGGAAGTGAGGGACCCAAACAAACTATTAAGAAGGCAAATCTGAGATGTAATTTAAAGGGGACCTATCATGCAAAATGCACTTTTGTACGTCTTTTATACATGAATATGTGTCCCCGGTGTTCCAGGGAACTCACCAAGTGTCAGAAAACACAACCCTCTCTCTTTTCCTCCATATCCAAATCTCTAAAAACGGGGCTGCAACGGATCTGATACAGACTGATCCAGATTTGAACATTCCTCTGACGTCAGGACGGCAGGTTGCCGTGGCATGGTAACAGCATGGTAACACGACGCTCGTAACTCGGCCCCCTCCTTTGCAGGGGGGCGTGGTCAGCTGCAGCGCATGCAAAGACAGGGTGGAGGAAAGCAAAATAGAGCGAAATGAGGCATGGCTAAAATGCATGATCTGTTTGGTATTTTCAAAAAGAAAACGTATAAATATACCTTATATAGGTATGGCCCTACAATATATTATTCAAATATAGCATGATAGGTCCACTTTAACTCCAGCTCTCGACACAGGTTCGGGAAAGCCCCATGAGCTTCTCGTTGTAGAGTGAAAATGGAACGCACACGCTATTTGTTTTTTGTTTATATCACGCAGTCTGTTCTTCTTCTCTCGGTTATCACGCAGTCTGTCTTCCGGTTGTTGCCTCTTTTGAATGACGAATACACACTACCGCCGCCTGCTGGTAAGGAGAGTTATTGACACTCACGCATGCGCAGTTCGTACGTGCTTCTTGGCCGTCGGCTGAAGTCTTTAGGCGCGTTCACACCGCAGTACTTTTCCCACTTTAGTTCCGATATAGTTCCGAAATGTTGCGTTCACACCAAAAAGATCCAGAACTAAAATTAGTTCATGAGAACCTTTTTACCCCCTTTTCCGTCCCTGCTAGAGAGCAGGGACTTTCGTGGGAGAAAAAGGTTCCTATTTCTGCTATTTCGGCTGGGCGGATTGCAAACCACGCCCCGTAAAACTCCAAAAACGTTTTGTGAAGCTGCCATTTTATTATCCTCGCATTAGCATTATTAGCATTAGCATTCGCCCAGCGCACAAACGAAGAGAGACTAACTTATGGCAACACAAAAGAAAACATGGGAGCTTCAGCAGCTTCTACTGAAGCCAGTCCCCAACTCCGGGGACTTCCGGCCGGGGACTTCGGGTGGCAGTATACGCCGTGAAGTTGTCAGTGTTGCCAACTCCATAGTAAGGAAAGTAGCTATTGGCTGTCCTAAAAGTCGCTAAATGACGTCACCCTTAATGTGTTTAGAACTACAAATGAACTTCCTTCTGTTGATTCTTTTTTTATTTTTTATTATGTTTGTCCATCACTTGATGACTTTAATGCTTTGTCTAGACCAACATTACATACATACATTTTGTCCAGTATTGTTAAAGAATTAGTCACATTTCATTTAAAAAATGGTTATGTGGGATGGAATTGCTATACCTTCCTTCTTTATCTGGGCTTGGGACTGGCAAAGTGACACACTGCAAGCCAGGGCGGGATCAGCGATGGCTTTGCGCATGCGCGATTAATATTCAGTCTGGACCATGGTCTGGACGCGTAGTGTGTCTCTTTTGGGTCACTTTGCCACCTCTCTGCTCGAGTGCAGCTGCCGCGCGAGGCTGCCTGTGAGTGCTTTGAGACGGCGGAGGGGCTCAGCACCCGCTGCTCGTTGAGGAAAGTAACTGCGTAACAATTACGTGCTATCACGTCAGATTCTCCAAACACCAGAAAGTCTCCAATAACACCAGAAAAAGTAGCTGAATTTTGTCGCTTTTGACAAAAAAAAGTAGCCGGAGGGTTTGGAAAGTCGCCCGATTTAGCGAGAAAGTCCCCAAGTTGGCAACACTGGAAGTTGTTTGCGGCCTGCCAGTAAACCCCAAGCAAAAGAAGAAGAAGTGACGTCAGCGGCTTTATTTGCCTAATCCTCCCCCAGGGACTTATTCCGGTGTGAACGCGATCTGTAGTTCATGAGAACTAAAGAGTTCTCATGAACTAAGTTCTGATGAACCTTTGTGGGAAAAGTACTGCGGTGTGAAAGCGCCTTTTGCGGTGTGTTCCAGTGCGACACATGGCCAAAACGCAGAGACGCGAGGCGACACAACAGTCGGGGTCCGTCTGTGTCAGTTCTTTGGTGTCAGCTTGGTGTGTCCGGGCCTTAAAGCTCACTCAATTAGCTATTATACTTGTTTATTTCTTACAACATTTTTTAAATGAGTAATGGTTTTACCGGGGGTTATCAGCCCACAATTTGTTTTGGCCTAAAGCAGTAACATTTAAAGTCAGGCTAGCTGCTTCCTGTCAATTTGCTAGCTAAGCTAACTCAACATAACATAAGAGACTCATCAATCTTTTCAGCTAACTCTTGGAATAAAAGTGAACAAGATTATACCAAAAAGTCAAACTATTGCCTGTAACAAAAGATCACTCATCTCCTCTCAGCTGCTGTTCCATTGGTCAGTCAATTACCATGTTCTTTATTAAAATACATAATAAGATCATTTTAGAAAAAATGAATCCATTACATTCCACTTACAGTATCCCCCGAGGCATTCATTCAACTCTTTTTTTTTTCATTCTATCTGTTTCTCTGGACAGTGACTTGTTTGTTCCAACAAGTTTTACACTCTGCTGTTCACTGTTAGTGACTGTACAGCGAAAAAAGGGTTTAACTTGAAATCATGAGGCATCAAACTGGCCAACAACATATTCAGACCATCTGATGCCTCTGGCTTGATTTTTGAGCGACAGGACTTCCAATTTAAATTGTTTGAATATTTTCACACCGTGCAGACCTGCACTTTTTCAAGCCAGAGGGCCCAGGGGGTGCAGACAGAAGTGGTGGAGACAGACCTTTTGACTTTTTCACCAATTTATTAGCAGACACATATACACATTTTCAACAAGATACGACAAACAGTCAGATCTCTGTGTGTGTGTGTGTGTGTGTGTGTGTGTGTGTGTGTGTGTGTGTGTGTGTGTGTGTGTGTGTGTGTGTGTGTGTGTGTGTGTGTGTGTGTGTGTGTGTGTGTGTGTGTGTGTGTGTGTGTGTGTGTGTGTGTGTGTGTGTGTGTGTGTGTGTGTATGGGAATGGATGTGGTCAATTTTCTCAACATCAGTGTGTTTGAAGTTGAGAATGCGCGGTAATTGGAACCGTGTGTATGCGCACATGTGTGTGTATTCTTACTCAAGGCTGACAGCAACTGAGTGTGTGTGTGTGTGTGTGTGTGTGTGTGTGTGTGTGTGTGTGTGTGTGTGTGTGTGTGTGTGTGTGTGTGTGTGTGTGTGTGTGTGTGTGTGTGTGTGTGTGTGTGTGTGTGTGTGTGTGTGTGTGTGTGTGTAAAGCCAGGTGTTTGACATTACCTTCCCTCTCTGCCTCTCTTTATCTTTCATACCCGTCCACTGTAGGCTAAGGGTACTTCAGCCTCAGTGCTGATCTGCTGATTGGAGTCAGCTCCCAGCTCAGATCAAAGAGCAAAAATGATTTATTGTGAGGATTTGTGACCTTCTTGCCCTCACTACATCTCAAATCAGTCTGGCATTTGTTGAGCAACAAATGTGTAATTATGCGACTACCAATCCAAATGGATTTGGAGCACAGATGAGATAGACATGTGTGGAAAACCTTTCTGAACGTTTTGGGATTTGATACTTGGAGCTCTTCATGTTAGCGGGTTCAAAATGTTACAGTTACAGAGTACATTTGTTGTTACACAAAAAAGCTGCTAATCTACAATAGCCTATTAAGACCATTGCAGGTAAATCATTTATATTACAACTTATGAAGCCAGGGGAGTGGGGTGAAAATCCAAGGACAACATTCAGAATTTACTAGAAAAAAACTGAATATTCTCTTCTGAGTTAGAAGTCGTTAACTTAACTTAAAAGCTATCCAGCTTGTATCCAAACTGTTTGTGGTTTGATGAGGTTCATCCAAACATGAGAAGTGAAGCAAAGTCTTTTTCTTCAGGAAACGTCTTTTTTCTTACTTCCTGAGCTTTATCTCAATTGTATCGCTTAAATCTTGGAAATTCTAATGTCTAAGGGGAGGCTCCATAAATAAATCGTCTTATGATTCGGCACATGTGTTTGCAAGGCGTTCAGAAAGTGGTTTTATTCCTCCACTACGGTATCTGCTCTGAATTTGCAATTTTGCATCACTTTAAAATGTTATGCAGCGGTTTTCCTCTAACCAAGTCGCCCACATTTCTTTAAAGTGTGTAACAGTGTCTGTGGGAACTTGGAACTTAAAGATGAGATCATTTTCCTAAATTGATTTAGAGTGTTTACGCTCATTTTTCTCCACACTTTACAGTCTAATGTCACAGTGATCAGCAGCGGGTCAGAGTGCAGCTGCTGCAGGGCTTTTGGCTGCTCCTCACCCTGCAGCTGCTGCACTGGTGTGGCAGATAGAGGGCTGGACAGGACCAGACCTGGCTCAGTTAAGATTTTAAATGGTTTCAGAGGCTTTTCTCAGACTGACTCTAGCCTTTGAAGCTGTTTGATTTGTGATGCAATTTCTCACAAGTGAAATATTTTGTGAGATATAGCCTTTAGTAAGTCTCAAAGGCCTTACGAAATATTGAATAGTCAAATATTGGCTAAACATTTTAGCCAAAGGCCCTGCACACGCAAAGAGGTGAACCCACTTGTTAAATGCAAAACAAATTATATTTATATTGATTGCAACCAACATTTTCAGAAGTTCAGAATTGTGAACACAAGATGCACATTTTTAAGAAGACATGGCCACGTTTGCCATAATTTAGTTTAGTTTCAAACAATATATTGCTACTGTGATTTAAATACGAAACTAAACGATACAATACAATAGGATGCTGTGATATGATAACAATACAATTTGATAGAATACATTATTAATATTGAAAGTAATATCTAGAAGCAGATGCAAATAGCTGGGCTGCAGTTTCATGAAGTCTTGTTAACTCGTAAAAAAACAACCACAATTTAAAACACAGCTTGCAAATTGTCAAGCAAATTATTGTGAATGATGCCCGGACCAATGGCGGACATTTACAGGATTGGACATTTTACATGAATACCGCACATAACATTGAAGTACAGAAGGATCGGATGTTTTCGACCTTCTAAAAAATGCATTTCTTTTTTTTTTAAATGAAGAAAGGCAATCAAGGTATGGGCCTCTCTCATTCTCTTCTAATTTTCTGCTTCCACAGAACAACAAGCCAGGAGCTGACGGATCTAAAGGGGCCAAAGGTCACAGAGGACCCGAGGGCAATCCGGTAAGATTACCACGGAGCCAATGAATGAGTTGATTGGTGTGTGTGTGTGCATATTTGCGTGTGTGTGCAAGTGGAGACACTGGAGGTACTGCTCTCCAAACTCCAAACCATTACCCTACTCTCACTTTCTTTGGGGTATTTTTTATAAACACCTACAGTGGAAAGTTATGCTTAAAGATTAGCCTAGCTTAGCTTGACGGAAAATTACATTTTGAATTGCATATTTACAAATCCACTGACAGAAACATCAGTTGCAAACAATTACATCATTTAGAAACATAAACAAATCCCATGAAAACACCAAAACCAATAATTTCCCAGGCCTTTCTATGGCACTCAACCTCAAGCCCATTAGTTCCTACTGTAGTAATGACTTAAAAAAGGGTTCCTTAAAGGGGACCTATCATGCAAAATGCACTTTTTGATGTCTTTTATACATAAATATGTGTACCCGGTGTGTCGGGGAACTCACGTAGCGTCAGAAATAAAACCCTTTCTCTTTTCCTCCGTACCTAAATCTTTTAAAAACGGGGGTACAACGAGCGGATACAGATTTGCTGCCGATATGACGTAATTTCGGATGGTGGACCCACAGAGAGTTGCTATCAGAAACGATGCCTGACGTGTTTTGGACGTAATATGGTATTAGCAAGCCTCGCTAACACTAACCTGTACTGGAGAGCACATGTGTTTAAAAAGCAGGAAATAAAAACCTTGTGATAAACCCGCAAGAGAAAAAGCATTTGAGCTCCATACTGTTTCAGAAATAATCCTTGATGTGGTTTAGAACAGGATGGCGTTTTATCACAGCAGAATTTAACTTTATCTCCGGTAGAATTCTGATCAGGCATTAGCTCTGCCTCCTCTTTTTCTTTTTTTTAAAGCTAAGGACCCAAAATCCGCGTTTCTCTAACAGGGCTAGAATAGAGGGATATGAGGGATGTCTCAAATGCATGATCTGTTTGTATTTTGAGCAAAACACATCATAGACATGTTTTTATATATTTTTATATATCTGAGACCCATAATATATGCCTTAAAATAGCATGATAGGTGCACTTTAAGAAAAAATACTTTAAAAAAACCAAACAGCTTTTCATAAAACAGCTCGATACTGTACTTTTTAAGCAAATTTGACTGAAACAAGAGAAAACAGTCTTATATTTGGACGTGGCTTCCAGCTCCGGATGAGTACACATTAAGTCATATAGTAAATATTTACAGCACCAGAATGGTAAATAAAAGAAACTACAGTGCCTGTGTTACTAAGAAACACCTCACTTTGCACTGGTCAAGCTCACTGAACGCTTTTTCATTTCATATCAACAATGGAGGTCAACCATTGACTCATTGTTGGATTTGGTCTTTTCATGGGATTTTTTTACACTTACTGTGTATTTCCCTACGTATGGGCGGAGGTTGCTACTGATCCCTTACACATCCAGTAAGTGAGCCAAGGTTGGTCAGCACTCAACATAACATCAAACCGCATGCAAAGACATAAAAGAAGGCTTTCCTCAGTGCGGCTCAGTATGTTGGAAAGATAGTGTAATTACGTTTCCCTGTCAACTGGCAAGGGAAAGCTTGTGGTATTGGATCATATGAAGAGATGAAAAGCTATTAGGTCAAAATATAACACTGTGTGTGAGACATGTTGTCCACTCACAGTGTTAAAAGCTCTCACACTTTCCCTACTTTCTCTTTTTCCTCTGTGTCCTCCCTTTTTTACTCCTGTCTCCTTTTCACCTCTCCTCTGGCTTGTGTCTCTGCTGCATATTTCTGCATGTTTGCGTCATGAGTTGTCGGACGGTTTCTCTCGTCTACAATTAACGGCCGTCTCCCTTTCCCTCTCTTGTGTGTGTGTCTGCCTGTGTGCACACATGCAAGCTCTGCTGGCGTCTTTGTCACAGAGAAGAATGCTCTTAAACTGAGTTTAATGTCTGTTAAAACAAAACAGATGGTTTTCAAGCAGCCGAGTGAAAAAAGAAAAAAAAAACGAAATGCTGTGGCAATGAACTTTTGGAAGATTCACATGTTGTTGCAGAAGATAGCAACGCTCACAAACGTGTGGGTGTGGATGTGGGTTGGATGACTGAGGGATTCTGGTTTCCAGTCAAAGGGGTGATGGTTTTTCCAAAGAATCAACAGTTTTTTTTGTTTTTTCTGTGAAAATAAAGTCTTACAGTTCTTGCTCTGTCATCTAAAAGTCAAACCAGATACACTTTTGTCTGTCCAGTTCTTTTAATCAGATAGAACACATTAATCAAATAAATCACTCGTTCTCCCTTTTTCTTCAGGGACCTATTGGGCCTTCTGGACCACCAGGAACTGATGTGAGTATAACAAATATTTAATCAGTCCATTTATTCTGAACCCCCGTCCTCATTTATGCCGAGACAGGTCGGCTAAACACCACAGATTTGATTCCCCCTCGAGGCCCACGCTAGTTTTGACTCTGGAACTGATACTGTATGTTCAGTCTAAAGCCACACATTCAATTTCCTAAACACACCAAAAAAATTGCCTTTCACCAACAGTCCTCTGAGGAAATTATATTGTCATGTTTTTTCTATTCTGGAACCACGTCAAACTGTACAAAAAGTGATGTAATGTGATTTAAGGGGGCCTTGCTGTTCTGTAACGTACTCCACCTCTCTTTTCAGGAATGTGAAATTCTGGATATCATCATGAAGCTCTGCTGTAAGTTTAACGCTCAACTCGCAGAAATGAAGCCAGATGTTCCCCATTTCAGAAATGTTGGCCTTTTCAACTCAGAGCCAGATTAGCCAATCATGTAATCGAAACCTGAAGAATGTCAGGGTTGCACGGGCTATGTTGTGTTACGTCCTGCGCAGTTAATTAACTCTGATTTGTGTTGTTTTCCCTCTTTCCTCTCCTTATCACGGCGCAGCTTGTTGTGGTAAGTTTGCCCTTAAAGTCACCATCATGATCATGTTGTTTCTCATGCTCTCTGGCTATTGTGATCCTTTGTCATTTTGTTTATGTCTGCCTCCAGAGTGTAAGTGTGCAGCGATGGACCTGGCCTTCATCGTGGACAGCTCAGAGAGTATCGGGTCCACCAACTTTGCGCTCTCCAAAGACTTTATCATCACAGTCATAGACAGGCTGATCAAAGACCAGCAACTCAAGGTAACATCCTATAATTGTCTCCACTGTAAATCATATCTATCCAATCTCTGTCTAGCCTCAAAAGGATAACCTGCAGTTGAACTTTGTGGATTGTGTTGTTTATTTAGAGTGACACAAAAAATGTTGCAAAAGCAGTTTTCAGAGATGTTCAGAAATGCCAAGAACAGACTTAAAAATAGAACTTGTGAAAATGAAATATTGGGTTGGGTTTTGGAACTTGCTTTATGTCTCTCAAGTTCCTCAATGACTCCTTCCAATTGGATGTAATTAGTCAGGATGGGTGGGACGCAAAAATGTTGGCAGAGGAGGAACTCGTAGACACAACAAGCAAAACAAAACACAGAGTCACCATACAATGCTTTTTTTCCCTTCAGTTTGCAGGTAATGAGTCAGGTTTGAGTGTGGTCCAGTACAGTGGATCACAAGCCCAAGAAGTTATCCGACTGAGCGGCAGCCTTGGCCTCACCGCATTTAAACAGTGAGTTCACAAAATGATGCCCTGCCTTAGGACTTCCTCTTTGATTTCATTGGTTTAGTATCTGGTTACATCCTCTTCATGTTTTCAATGACAATCTGACCACTACGCACATTATGCAGTTACCTAACCCTTGGAAAAAAGCAAACGCATGTATTTCAAAACATTTTTAACAATTTCTATAAGGAGCTTTTAGCTTTTACTAGAAGCAAACTAAGCTAACTACAAAAGCTCTTTGTATTTTTGGCTGAAAAGGCCAGCTAAGAATGGATGGAAGGCTAAAACACATTTAGTGTGGACATGCTCTTACACAATGTTTGACCAAATTCTAAACAAAATCCAGCTATTTCTTCGATGGACGATGGAATATATATCAATCCTCTAACTGTGTTCTCAAGTGCTTTTTCCAATATCCTTGATTTTATAAAGAAAAAGCCATTGATTTTGTGTCATAATATTTCTCTGTGTTTGTGTGCAGGAAAGTGAGAGAGCTGACGTGGCTGGCTGAGGCCACGTACACAGGCGAGGCCCTTGATTATGCTCTGAAGAACTCAATCAAACTTATGACGCATGAGAACAAAGTCATCATCGTTCTCACAGACGGACGTTCTGACATTTCGAGGGACAAGATTCCCCTCAACGTGCTCTGTGGTCAAGGCCTCAGGGTGAGTACAATACTCCTAGAAAGACGCAGTAAAGGCCCATGCTACACTTGTGGCTATTTAAAGTTAAAACTTAGAAGATCTTGTTTTGGCCACACCAATGGCGATTAGCGTTGAGTGCATATTTGTTTTTGGATCTCGCTTCCCAGAGATCGCAGCTTTCCATTTTTCCTGGGAATGTTTTCTGTTTATAATTTTCTTGTATAAAAGAAGATTGATTTACTTGTTCATTGACGTTAGCAACATGGCTACCACTAGCAGCCTGGCTAACATTACTGTCCATAGCCAGAACCAAACGTAAGAATCCCAAAGAACTAGAAACCCTATTCTTAGTGCGTTGATAGAGGCCAAGTAAAACACCCTGTAGAATTAATAAGAAGACAGGCTATGAATACTTACTGATCTAGCTCAATGGAAAGAACGTTTTTATCACTCCTCGTTCTTTGCCGGTTAAGAGGTATTTTATTAATGCCAAATTAGGAAATTTTTGTTTCCACAGCTAGCATTACTCTGGTTGTTCTGCTACCTGAGTAAAGCTACTTTGTTTACTTCCCCTTCAGCAAAATGCTCTCTGGTAGATATGACGCAGTGTATATATTTAAGGCTTTTATTGACAAAGATGAGAAGAATCTGTAATGTGCTGCCATGTGGGATCAATAAAGACTTTGCTGTCTTGGTTCAGACTACAGACGCTCCTGGTTATTATTTTATTATCTTCATAAGTGAAGGCATGACTCAAGCTCTGCCCTCTTTCTTTCGGTGCTGTTTACCAACTCTTTATTTTCCCGTAAGATGGCAACCGAAATGTAGATAGTGTCAATATTTGATGGACATTACATCATGCAAACAACACTTACCTTATAAGGATTTTTATAAGGCCAAACTAAAACCTTGTTCCTCCTCCACAGGTGGGTGGATTAGGCGTGAAGGATTACTCAGGCCGTGAGCCAAACAAGGAGCAGCTTGGGGAATTGGTTTGTAAGAGCGACCCCAAACCAGGCTTTCAGTTTGTCTTGGACAACTACGCAGAACTGCTGGATGACACTTTCCTTCAGAACCTCACAACCAATATCTGTGCAGGTAAATAACACACACAGTGCAAACACACACATCGCTGGTAATTTCCATAAAGTAAATATGTTGTACCAACCTCAAATAAAGTGACGAAGTAACCCTTGTTGTTCTTTCTTTCAGAAAAGAAGTGCCCCGACTACAAATGTCCCAGTAAGTCTGTTTTTCTATTTCAAATATAAAAGTTGTATATGTTGTTGGACCATGTTTCAATGTATTTAACATTGTATGTACCTTATTCTACTGCTATTGAACCATCTTTAGGTTTCTTTTAAATCTTAGTACATTCAGATAAAGACAGTTGACATAAAACAATCAACAATTTAAACCTATGTTTACCTACCTTAAATGTACAAGAACATTTTAAATGCTAGTTGGCTGTCTTTAAACTGAATCACTCTAGTCTTTGATTATGATTGGCCGCAGTTATTGATCAGATGTGTTGTGTCTGTGTTACAGTCTCTTTCTCTGAAAGTGCCGATATCTTGGTGATGATGGATAGCTCGGCCAGCGTGGGCCTGAAGAACTTCGAGACAAGCAAGACCTTTGTTAGTCGCTTGGCTGAGCGTTTCCTGAGTGGCGAGAGGAAGAGAGGTGCCACTGTCAGAGTGGGCGCAGGCCAGTACAGCAGGAGCGCCCGCATAGAGCAGGCACTAACTACCAATCTGACCCTGCTGTCCGATAAAATTAAGCAGGCGGACTTCCAGAATGATGGCACCAACGTGTTATTGGCCATGGAATTTGCCATGAAGAGTTTGCAAGGCCGCGGGGACGCATCAGGAGGCAGGAGGAAGCTGGTGCTGTTCTCCGATGGCAGGTCTCAAGCCATCACCGAGGCCCTGCTGGAGAAGCGTGCTCGTGAGGTGTCGGACGCCGGGGTCGAGCTCTTCGTCATCACCGTCGGCACCCAAGTCAATGAGGCCAACCTGCGCACACTGGTGAGCAGAGGGCGGCCAGACGACATCAGCTACGCCCAGCGGCATCTCTTCCGTGTCCCAGACTACGCTTCTCTGCTCCATGGGGTCTTCCACCAAACCGTCTCCCGCAGGGTGTCCATGCCTTGAGTGCAGGGCTCTGTACAACAGGACCAACACGCTTTAGTTTTTTAGTCCCAATATGAATATTCAGTCTCACTCATTTACCATACACTGTGTTCGAGTATGTCACAAATGACAAATGATTGTGTGGCAGACTAACAGAAATGTCTTAATGAAATTTACTTGGGACTTTTTTACCCTGAGTTGAGCCTCCAATGGTGATTCTCTCAGGCTGTGTACAATTTCCACCTCCTATGCTGGGGTCATTAGACTATAACCCCGACTGATGGTGCTAACATAAACTATTTTGGAATTTTTGAACCCAGCTGTGTTTTACAAGTACACAGCTGGGAGGAATTGCTCCCAAAAAGGCAAAGTTCAGGGTAAAAAAGTCCCATTCAAAGAGGTTGCTTTTGTCCCGGGGAGCCATCAGTAATGAAACACAAGTAAACAAAATGTTTAGCTTTCAAATGCATTGAGCTAATTTCCACTCAGGTGTTATGCATCACTTTATACCAGTGATAACCCGTGCTCTCCCTTACTTCAACTAAAAAGTGTGGTAACATGATCCTGTCTCTCTGGGACCGGAGCTCCTGACATCTGAAGATCTTTTTTTTTTTTTTTAATGTGAACTCAGTTTTGTAGCTCTTACCACTCTTTCAAGTGGTGTCGGGTTTGTGGTGTCACTATTTTACAATGTAAGCAAACTGACCGCAGCTGTGGATTGAAAACATACAAATTCTTTGGTGAATGATTCTCTGACCTAGATGATTGTGCATTTGGAAGGCTGGGGCACGATTTGTCAGTAAACTTTATTTTATATAGGTCTTGCCCCGATAAAGCATTGCTGAAATGGTAATTTAGAAATACTATGATTTTTTCAAAAGTTGTAGGAAACTCACATCCGACATCACTTAAAAGCTCTATTAGATCACCAAACCTACAGGGAAAACAGGACATGACATCAGGCAGACTCCAACATTAGCACTTCACCTGGATCTAATGAGGACACGACAGCTGGACTCAACATGTGTGATTCTGCCCGAGTGTGTGTGTGAGTGTGTGTCTGTATGTGTGAGCACCTCTGAGTTATCATCAATTACATATGTGAGTGAAGGTGATTCTTTTATGTGTAGCCTTGGGGGATTGTTCCATAAACAGTTGTGCTGGGGTCACTGGTTCAAATGACAGAATGACAGAAACCTGTGCAGAGAGACCTCTGTCAAACACACACATACACACATACACACACATACACGCATACACACACCTTGGTGCTTCATCAGTGAGGTAAGAAAACATCTGTCATGGTTAAAGGCTGGAAAATAAACCTAATGCTGTTAGCCCCTCACATACACAGAAAACGGTGTCTGCCTTCATCCCCTTAACTGTTAAGTTGCACAATTTCTGTTTCATCAGTGGCCCAAAGTCACTGTTCTGGTGTTATTATCTGTGGTGCTATTAGTCTCAGTGTTTTAGCCCCTTCCCATGTTGTTTAAAGAAGATATTTTTACCTGAGGATACAAAACTCAGTACTGTTGTAGGAGCTCCTTCAATAAAGGTTGCTACACCAAAGTGTCTCAGCAAATGTTTCTCCACACACACAAAAACACACACTCACACTTGAATTTCTTGGCTTACAAGAGCAGTATACAATAATGAGTATTGGGCTAGCCCTGGCTTTGATGCAGTCCGACCAAAATAATGTAACTCTGGCCCAAAAGCTACAGGACGCTAGATCCTCTCTTATCCCCTAACCAAACATTTTTCCAAATATACATAAGCCCTTAGAAGTCCACAGTTTAAAGATGTGATCCGCTTTGTTCAATTTGTAAAGAGGCTGTACACTTTTAATCAGAATCAGTATCAGAATACCTTTAATCGTCCCACAGAGGGGACATTAGTATTGTTAAAGGTCCCCTATTATACTGTTTTTCATCAATATATTATAGGTCCCGGGGGACCTCCATGGGACCTTATTTCGAAAAAAGTATGTATTGAAGTCAATGGAGAGAGAAAGATTATCTTTCGATCCCGTTTGAATTGTGCCACGAATTACACATATGATGTTTGTCAATTTAAAAGATAATTTTGCAAGTCAAAAAAATACAAATGTGTCGTAAAACTGTGAAGTAACACTTTTTTTGTGTGAAACCGCTCAATGAACTACATCTCCGGTCTCGCACCACACACCAAGACGGCCGTCACGTTGGCACATTTCACTTCTTTCTTTCAGAATGAGGCGAAAAGTATTAAAAGAGGTGAAAATCACTCCAAGTCTGGGCATGTTGAGAGCTGTACATACACACAAGGGGAGTTAGTCGGTTCCGTAAGAGCCAGCATGCGGGACCGGGATTCTGGGATTTGTAGTCTTTCTAGTTGCGTATTTTTCATAGTCTTATATTTCAACAGTTTTACGACAAACTGTGACTTTTTTGACATGGAAATTATTTTTTAAGATTGACAAACATCATATGTGTAATTCGTGGCACAATTCAAACGGGATCAAAAGATAATCTTTCTCTCTCCATTGACTTCAATACATACTTTTTCCGAAATAAGGTCCCATGGGTCGGAAGTAGATGGGCGGGACTTCGCCTCTCTATATACAAAACATGTCTCTGAAATTTTTGGCTCGAAATACCAAACAGATCATGCATTGTAGCATCCCATAATCCCCTCTGTTTCAGCCCTGTTTCAAAAGTGATGATTCTCTGTCTTTTATCTTTAGATGAAAATAAGGGCCACTCCCCACGCCCCTCTGATGCCCTTTTCACACCAACGCGGTTCCCGTTCTAGCTCCGTGCTAGAGCTTTTCTGGTTCGGAACCGGTTTTTCTTTTCAGCCCCCGTTTTGTTCACACCGCCAGAGCCCGACTGGTGCTGCCGCTGCTGCGTCATGACGTGTTTCAGCGGCGTTTACCGACCGCTGCAGTGCTGCTCTTCCACCGGGGTTTATTCTCCCGTTAGCTCCGGGTTAGCTCACACGGCAGCAGCCGCTGTAAAGTATTCACTGTCTGACTGTCACACAAGCAGCTGATACAATCATCCCCAATTCCCCATAAGTGAATGTGTGTCAGTCTGAATTGACGCTGTTTGGCATCACAACGCTGTTATTAAAGTTTCTCTGGTATAAAATGGGTGATGTTAGCATAGCAACCAAAGCTAAACTGAGTATCTTGACTACCTGTTGTTGCTATCCTATTGTGGCATAAGCCGTTTTCTACAGGCACATTTTACCGGCGTATTTTTCATTATGATTCTACTTGTGATAGTCATGGCATCCTGTGTCCATCCATATTGATTCCATCCGATAGCTGCTATAATACAAAACAACAGGAAAACGTCTGCCTGCTCTCCACAATGATCACAGCGAACGGATGGTCAAATAAGGTACAAATAAACAGAATCACACTAAGCCTGGTTAGTGTTGCCTGACTTTATAAAGTGTGTTTTTTTTTGTGTGGTCGCGTTCTAGTCATTTTGCCCAGTGCTACTGCTTGTTACAACTTTTATTTGCCGTACTCGCCATTAACTGTTATTGCTCAGGTTAATCTCGCCCCCCTCCTAGGTAAGCGTGAAGTATTGGTTCTTGGTTCTTGCCGGGCAGCCAAGTAGGGCCAGCTAAGAACCGGTTTTCGGTGCTTCGAGCCGGAACCGCTGCGGTGAACCGGTTTGATGGAAAATGGGCTGTCACACCCCCAGACGCCGCAAACCGCGTAGATGTTACGTTACGTTGCAAACGCATTAGGCACACCCTTGTGGGGACACACACATGTGATTGGCCGAATACAAAAAATGTATGTGTGAATCTAGCGGCGTCAGGGGAGTCTCAAAGATCCAAACACAAGTGCAGAGAGATTCACACTCAAATGCTGAGAGATTCACACACAGAAAGCGTTTTTTATATAAATGTAACAACACTCAAATATGTTTTTGATATAACTATCTTTTTTACATTTATAAAATGATACGTTTTTGTGTGCATTGAAAAAAAATGGTGTTGATGGAGAGATTTATATATAAATCCGGAATATCATTTGTGTATCCTTCTGTGTGCTTTTATTTATTTTTGAGACTGATCTGACCCCATACCTCCAGTGGCCGAGAGGTGCAAACGCGCTACAACAGCCTAAAACATTCCCTTTAGGAGAAACGCTCTGCACTTGCAAAGCTGATGCAGACCTGCCTCAAAAACCCTAAAACACATGAAATCAGAATGGTCCACCTTTTTTATCTCATTGACAATAACCTTTATCCTGATTTAATTTAAGAAATCTGATCAAATTATAGTATGCTGACGTTTGCACTCTCGCTCAAGCACCAGGTCTTTTGATCTCAGAAATTAACTTGGTAAATAAAATGATATAATGACTCCTAATAAAGACCCAGATAGTGAAAGATAAGCTAATGTGTTCTTTAAAAACTGGATACTGCCCTAAACAAAAATCTGTGTTAACAAGTAGTTACCTGCCAAGGTGCCTTTGAGCAACACATCTCTACCAGCTCGAGGGCTGTTGAGTTTGACCTCCCTGTTTGAAGACGGGTAACAGAAGAATTCCTGATTACAGGTCATTGGTGTATAACTGCAAACATCTTTGTGTTGTATCCAATGTCCGGAAAATATCCAGTACATGCAAATGTTTAATCATCTTATTCTCTATGGTTCAATGAGACACATGTTTTATATCAAGCCTTCACACTGAGACTTCAGCCGAATTTCAGTAGAACTGTCTGTTTGAGTTACTTTGGTGCATTGTTCCTGTGGTGTCACTGGTGTGTCTGTGTTTGTGCAAGTACATGGGCTGTGTGTGTGTTTGCACTGTCTGATACATCTCTTCCTGTGTAATTTTTGAAGATAAGGAGTCAAAACCTAATTTACCAAAGTATTCCATAGAGCCCCTAACAGTGTTCTTGTTTATGTGCTATAGCATTTGGATGAATATATGATTTTTGGCATGCGTGCATTTATGTGTGTGTGTGTGTGTGTGTGTGTGTGTGTGTGTGTGTGTGTGTGTGTGTGTGTGTGTGCCTCAGAAATTTGTCTTGGCTCCACTATAGTTTTTATGAGTTCCAACATCCTTCCTCTTGTTTTTTGAAGGCCGAGCGATTGGACCTCTCACTGCCATCTTAATACTATTTGGCCTTAACACAACCTTTTTCCACCGAAATGCACTTGCAGTGACATAAGTTTTGCACATGGTCTTCACCGTACGTGTTCATGGTGTGTGCACAACCTTGTGTGTGAGTGCGTTTTGTTCACACCGCCCAGAGCCCGACTGGTGCTGCCGCTGCTGCGTCATGACGTGTTTCAGCGGCATTTATCGACCGCTGCAGTGCTGCTCTTCCACCGGGGTTTATTCTCCCGTTAGCTCCGGGTTAGCTCACACGGCAGCAGCCACTGTAAAGTATTCACTGTCTGACTGTCACACAAGCAGCTGATACAATCATCCCCAATTCCCCATAAGTGAATGTGTGTCAGTATGAATTGACGCTGTTTGGCATCACAACGCTGTTATTAAAGTTTCTCTGGTATAAAATGGGTGATGTTAGCATAGCAACCGAAGCTAAACTGAGTATCTTGACTACTTGTTGTTGCTATCCTATTGTGGCATAAGCCGTTTTCTACAGGCACATTTTACCGGCGTATTTTTCATTATGATTCTACTTGTGATAGTCGGACATGACAACCTTTGCAGCCCATGTATTGATTCCATCCGATAGCTGCTATAATACAAAACAAAACGTCTATCTGCTCTCCACAATGATCAATAACAGCGAACGGATGGTCAAAGTAAGGTAGCCTACAAATAAACAGAATCACACGTTAGTGTTGCCTGACTTTATAAATTGTGTTATTTTTGTATAAGTGTGTGGTTGTGTTCTAGTCACTTTGCTCAGCACTACTGCTTGTTACAACTTTTATTTGCTGTACTCGCCTTTAACTGTTAGCTCAGGTTAATCTCGCCCCCCTCCGACGTAAGCGTGACGTATGCGGTTCTTGCTTCTAGACCGACAATCTTTTGGTGCTTGAAACGAACCGGATTCCGGAGCATGGAGGTGGCTCCGCTGCAGTGTGAACAGGAAAAAACTGTGCTTTTCAGGCTCTAGCTCCGAACCGGCCCTGGAACCGCGTTGGTGTGAAAGCCCCATGAGAGATATTTTGTTAAAAAGAACACAATGGTGCTCTAGGTGGAGATTCAGGTGATAAGGTGGTGGGCGGGTGTTACCTTGGTTGGTTATTGGCTAATGGTTACACAAGCCAAAAAAGGGACAGTTCAGAGTTCATCTCCAACAGCATGGCATCTGGAAGTGGCGCTCCCGCAACTACACATCTTGTCGTTAGTCATGCAATAATCTCAAATTATAAATTATTACTTTTGCTTAATTATGAAGGTAGCTCAGTTAGTTATTGAGCTTTTCTGGAGCTTAGCTGGTTCTTCTCTGTTCTTCTTTCTTCTTCTTCACTTGTGTTTCCATCGCTCAGAGCCCGACTGGTGCTGCCGCTGCTGCGTCATGTCATAAAATGGGTGATGTTAGCATAGCAACCGAAGCTAATCTGACTATCTTGACTAC